ACGGTGGTGTCCCACCTTCTGATAAATATCAAATACTCGACCGGAGCGGCGGAAAAAAAACGCAGCTAGATTTCATGTTGGCATGTTTTTCATGTTTTTAAGAGCTGGAATACACGTGTGTTAATGTGGGTACAGTTGAGAACTTTCCTTTGTCGTGATGCATTAAGTTGCTAAAGCCTTTAAACCCTTTGAAAAATAAAACGCTACTTTTTTGGCATGAATGCGAGACATTCAAAGTAAAAATCAAGTGCCAGACTGAAACAATATACAGATGAAACGGCTGAAAGTAAAGTCATATCATATTGTGTTGAGTTATTGTGCATATTCTTTATGAACTGCTTGTTGCTCAGAACAACCCAACCCCTTTTTAAAAAAAGTCAGAGTAAGAAAGAATTTGTGGCAAAACATCCTTTAAAAAACTCACTCACTTAAATACAACAATATAAATGGATTTTAAATGGATTTTTCAAAAGGAGTGAACTGGAATTAACTCATTAGAATGCATTCATGACTGTACGACTTTAGCTCATTTTGTGCAAATTTACCGTAACATCACAAAATAATGGTTAAAGGGCAGGTTGAAGGTTAAAAATCCACAGCATTAAAATATGAAATTTCCATTGCTGAATCCAGCAAGAATACAGAGAAAATTAAGGTTAAAAATACCAATTTCTCCCTTTCTCCTTTGTCTGCGTGTCCGCTGAATCCCCCCCCGCCCACAGCCAGGATCCAGTTACATCCCAATGTGCAGGCGGGGGGCAAAAACCGTACAGGCCACAAATTCCTGTGGATTAAAAAGAAACCTCTCTCGCGTTAATTACCCCCCCCCCCCACTTGCTGTTCCTCCCCGTTAGCCTCCTCCCTCGTCGTCTGCCGCCTCGGTTCCTCGCTCACTTCTCGTCAAAGCTACGGCGCGGCACCTGTTGAGTCCGGCGCTGCTGCTTTCCTGTCGGGGGCCAGGTTTGACCTCGGCGGCGCGAGGTCACGGCGGCGGCGGCGGGGGCGGGGCAAAAGGACGGGTTCGGGGCGGGTTTCGGTCACACGAATCTTCAGACCCGAACGGCGAGAAATGAGGTGAAAATGGGGAGTTTGTCCTCTCGGATGTTGCATTTGATGAAAAGCAGACGCTCCTCTCTCCTCCCCGGCAGACGCAAAGTCAAATGATTAGTTCTCGTTGTTATTTTCTTTTCCTTTGAGTGTTTAAAGCTCCTCTCGACCCCCCCACCAACCCCCCCCTCCCCTGTTCGGTGTACTCTGGGTGAACTTTGAACCATTTCCTCCGACTGGGCCGGCTGTTCGTGAGCCGAGAGACGACCCGGAGGAAAACACTCTCAGCCTGGACGGAGCGTCAGCTGAGAGGAGGAGGAAGAGGAGGAAGAGGGGGAGTAATATTCCTCTCATCCTCGGGGGGCGATGCCCACCGCCACACACCCAAATCGCCGCGGCGTTCTCCGTAACACAAACACAAATACACACCCCAGCAAATGCGTCTCTCTCTCTCCTCCTGTCTGCTTCCTGCCCGTCCTTTATAATTTGTCCGGTTTAATTCGACTTGCGGTTCTTGCCTTTATTCTGAACAAAAACTCTGTGCCGCATTTGCACCTCGGCCCTCTCATCACCCGCAGCGGAGAGGCACCTTTGTCCCGATCGTGAAGGCGGCGCCGCGGCGTCAAAGCGCCTGGGCTTTGCTTCGCAGGCTTTGCTCGGGGTTCTCTGCTGCCGTCTGGCGAGGCCCGTGTGGGGGGAGTTTGTCTGACTGGCTGTCAGGACGCGGAGGACACGGAGCAGATAGTTGACGCTCTTCTTTGTTCCCTGCACGCGAGACCTCACATCCCGCCCCACGCTGTGTGTTTTTTAGGAGGCTGCAGACGGCTCACCGGTGATGACCCGCTCGCTGTTTTCTCCATTCTGTTACCTTCAGACGTTTGTTGTGGCTTGTGTTGGACATCGCACACTAACACACCAGTCATACTAACTCTCAGGTCAAACTGGGAATGTGGTGCGTTCACGCTGCATAGTGGGTGGATCTATGAACGTATGAACGTAAGACATAAACGTATGCGAAAAGTAAACGCGAGTGCCGACTTTTTTCTGATCTGGAACTTGACATTAGAGAGTTCAACCGTGGCCATAAATAAGGAAATGAGACGGTGTAATACAACAGAATAATGTGCAATTTGTGTTGAATTGCCACAAAAGTTAAAGTTACAAAATAGAGAAGTTACTTTACATCAGTAAAGTGATCCCCTTAATGTCAGTACAGCCAATACTAAGATAACTTTAGCTCGCACTGTATAAAACCAGTAACAAAAAGGACACCGGTGGAATTATGTTGCTTATGAATGTTTTGAACATGAACGAGGCGTTATTTCACCTTTCAAACGTTGCATTGCATCACTTTTCATTCCGAAAGCGCCCGTGATTGAATCTAGTCCGATGAAGCCGCCGAGCTTCTATCAGATCGAGACGCCGGCAGATCATCACGTCGCTCTAGATGTTATCAGTCGGAACTCATTCAGCGTTTTAAAAGTTTCCCCGTGTAATTCCATCAGCTGTGAGCCTTTTTCCCCGTGTCTCGCTGCGTCCCAGCAGACCGGTCAGTGGACGGGCCGTCTCACCCCCCCTCGTTCAGCCTGCAGCCTCCTGCACGGAGCTGGATGCGCTTCCCCTGTTTGACACAATCCCCCCCCGCCCCCTCTGTCCGTCCGGCGGGGCGGGTTCAGCCGGAGGCCAAAGGTTCAGCAGCCACAGATTTTTCTTCCTGGCCGCTCTTAAGCCAGAGCCGCCGTGCGCGCCCGTCTGTCAGCGTGCTTTGGTTCCCCTGCTGGAGCTTTTTCTGTGTACGTTAACATGCGGGTGGGAAGTCGACTCAAAAGTTTAATCACGCAGAAAATAGAAAAAGGGCTCCCCGTGCACCTGAGAGGGGCCGCCAGCACACAGGAGCCCATTGACCACCCCCTCCTTACACACACACACACACACACACACGCTCTCTGAGGGGCGTAATGAATCTGTCTGCAGGTGGCCGCAGCGCCTCTCAGACGCAGCCGCCAGTTCCAAATAGGCAGCGGGGCCGAATGGTCGCCGCTGCCTCGCCTCGATGTGGGACTACCCAGCCGTCACAAATGCCCCCGAGCCATATCAGTAACAAAAGTATTCCCCCCCCCCCTCCAGGTGTATGTTAAGGTTTAATACACAATGCGTTTGCGCCCCAGAGGTCCTCAGACGAACACCTTGTTTCACCTCTTAGATGTCGGATGCAGGACGGAGATATTGTGGGGGGGGGGGGGGAGGAGGGGAGGAGGCCATTGCAGTTTATGCCATTGCAGCAGGGATTGCGTTGAATCGGCGACCAAGGAAAGCACGTGAATAAATATGTGAAAAAAAGCTATTTTCAGTACTTAACAATAAATGTACCTCTTAAGAATAAGTCAATGGTCATAAGATCCATACAAACACATATGCGTTTCAATGCTCTCCTGCGTTAGTATTATTATTATTTGGTCTAACAACAGGTGGGCAAACACCTGCATCCGAGGAACGGCACACTTTCCATCTCTTGAAGTATTTTCTCACTGACGAGCAGGGATGACATCACATTCCAGTGAATAGTGTCTGCAATCCGGGGAGAAAATGAGTCGCCGCCGTGCAAGCAGACTTGTGATCTGGCCGACGGAGATGCAGGATAAGAGCATCAAGACAAGTCCGGAAAAAGCATTTACGCTGGGCTCGTTAAACACCAGTGCATAGACACCCCCCCCCCCCCCCCCATCGCCCCTATCAGGTGGCTTTGTGTGTGTCGGGGGGGCCGCTGGCGGGCCTCCAGCGCCGTGTCCCACCATACATCTGTTTTATGTGCAAGCTGCTTCTCACTGCTCCGTGCCAACAACAGAGGGGGAACCATTTGGAGCCGTGAGACGACCCGACTTCAATGGCAAGCAAACGTCCGCCCGTCCGTCTGCCCGAGAGCGGCTGACCCGAAGTTGCTCAACCCTCGGATGAATACCGCTTGAAATTCGGACGGCATCACGTACTTAAAGATCCCGCAGGACTTTTGAGCAGTTTTGGTGAAGAGTCACAGGGACGGAAAACGTTCCTCGCAGCCAGATAAGAGTGGGAATCGATAGACTTATGAATCATCTCCTTCTAATTAACCTCAGTGATCATCTCACATCCTCGTCCCTTACCACAGAGGTGACAGGCGTCTTCATGTACCGAGCCGCTGGAAGATTCCCGACGGCAAAGACTGCGAATCCAACGCGCGCAAAAAGTCACTCAGGGTGAACGTAGCCGAAGATTCGATTAAACCGCCAGGGAATTCCATGCAGGGACGAGGGTCCTGTAATTATAAAAGCGTGGCCCTTACCATCAGTAATTGAGTTTGCTCTGATGAAGTACGGAAGAAAGTAATCTAATCAGTAGAGATGCTGCGGAGACGGCTCCCAGTTTTCTGTGCAGACAGGTCGTGTGCATGTGGACGCACAGCGGTTCCGCCCCTGCGTTGGTTCAAAGTCTGGCACATTTTTACTGAGTGCAGGACGATTGCTCCATCTTCAAGTATTCATTCAAATGCATTAAACTCTTTCTTCGATGTTTTGGTTGGGAAACATGTATTTGTTTTTGTTGAGAGGAACACTCCAGGGCTCCTTTTATGAAAAAGTAATAAAAAGCCCCACAAGTGACTCAGTGGTGCTCAGTGCTAAATGCTAACATGCACTGGATACGCTTACATGCATGTTACCTTAGCGTGTAAACATGCATGTTTGAATGGTGCTAAATAAATTCAGATTCAACCATATTATGACAAAAACTACCGACCATTAACATCCATGGAACTGCTAGCATGGCTAAAAACTTTGTATTTTCAACTTTTTTCCTAACAAAAGAAAGGTTTTCTGAATTTAGAGAGTTTACTTATTACCATTTTTTACTTCTCGGTGTGTAAGTGAATCATTCTATCGTTTAAAAACCTTTCTCCTGTTGTTTGCGTTTCCCCACAGCCATTGAAACGCAGAGCACCAGTTCCGAGGAGCTAGTCCCCAGCCCGCCGTCCCCGCTGCCGCCCCCCAGGATCTACAAGCCCTGCTTCGTCTGCCAGGACAAGTCCTCCGGGTACCACTATGGAGTCAGTGCGTGTGAGGGCTGCAAGGTAGGACCCCCCCCCGCGCCTCCTCACGCCGTGACCTGCCGCAGTTTAGTACCAAACACAAAGTGTTGTTTCCTTCTGAAACCTCAATCAGATCCATGATCAAAAGCAGCGGGAAAAGCCAGTAAGTGGACCGTGATTGGAGTTTGCTTTGTAGGATGTTGGCAAACGGACCGCTGAGCGTGGAACCTTGAGCGCCACCAGCCTCAAGTACTCAAATTCAAGGGATTGTGGTGAAACAATCGGTCGGCGTCACAGCGAGAACGCGTGGCCACAGGAGGAGAGTCTGTTTCTCACGGTGCTTCCTCCGTCTCAGTCTGCCATTTTAAAATGTTCTACTTTTAGAAATTCCTCCCAACAATCTGCTCTGCCAGCACTTTCTGTCTGTCCGTCTCCCACTTACAGCAGCTGTTGCTAGGTAACACGCACACACACACACACACGCACACTCATACAAACAACGTTCAGGATGCCGCACCTTTAAAAAACATGAAATTATTGAAGTCAGTGAAGAGTAAAGCTTCTACTTGGTGGGACCAGCGATACGTTAGAGCGGCGTCTCCTGGAGGAACGCACGTGACTTCCTGCCGGGCGGCCCGTGTGATTCCTGCCCAGGCGATGGCGCTTTGCGTGTCCTCTGTCATCGTAGCGGAGGTATGCCAGGAATCCTTTTTTTGGCCCGGAGGGAGGTGGTGATCAGCTCACTCGCTCGCCTCCGGGTCAGACCAAGTTCTCAGCGGGCTCCCGTGCGCCAGTATAAAACCCCTCATCCTAAGTGACCTCTGACCCCCGCCCCTCTGGCCTCTGGTTTAAAAACATCCGGCGGTGAACTGAACTGAAAATAATGAAGTTTGGAGGCTGGTCGTGTCCCGTAAATAGCACTTGTACGTCGCCGCCTCGTCCAGTTTGCCCCTGTGAACGTTTTCCCTTCATCCTCCTCGCCGCCTCGAGACCACTTCACCTGGGGAAGGTCAGCCCGACCTTCAGTTGGTGGTAAGCTGCAGCATCGAATGTTAGCATGCATGCCGGGCGTTAATGCTTCTCACACGCTCTCCTCTGCGAAACACTCTCCTGGCGGCGGGAACTTGCTTGTTTCCCTTTTCAAATAACCGATAACCCGACATGTATTGGGAGCAGGGAAGCCGGATCTTACACACAACGGTAGTCGCGAGTGCCCGATCGCGCTCCCTTAAAGACGGATGAAGGTGGTGAATAGAGTGAAATGTCCTCGACGGGGGTTTCATTCCATCCGTCCGCTCGCGCGCAGACCGCTGATGTAAAAATAGTTCACTTCATGGCAGAATGGCCTTGATTATTGTGACATCCTGACTCAGGAGGATTAAGCAGGGGATTATAGCTTCTTTTTGCACTGTGTTGTATTCCCGTCTCCATGGCGAAGGCATTGTTGCCTGTAGTACGAGGGGGGGGGCCCTTCCATTCGGTAGATGCAACCGAGCATGCTGCACGGCTGTAGGCTTTTAGCCAGCAAGAGGAGCCTTTTACTGCCCAGTGAATGTGCCAATTAGAGCTACAAATAGACTCAAAGACACAGTGTCTGCGCGTGCTTTGTGGGCTGTGTGCATATATTGTGAAACACTTACACATGTATGTAGCGTTAATTAAGAAAATGTCACGCAGACGCTGGTCGGAAAGCCGTCGTGTTGCAAATGAATACGGTAACAAAAAAACACTACAGCTGAGTTAGTAAAGTTTGTATGCAGTATTTTAATGAAAGGTTGCAGAACTTCCCGTCTGAGGAGCTGGAGCCAGAAGCCCAGTATTCTCGGGTGAAACGATTTTTCATTTTCAGTCGATCCCTTTTCTATTTTCGCAGGAGACCCACTGCACAAAGAGCGAGAGGGGAGGACCACGTCCACACAATAGGTTCAGTAGAAGTGTAACTTCTGTTGTCACCGAGTTAGTGTGCCTGGCCTTGACAGATCTGCTGTGTGGACGCAGCTGATTTGAATTGTTAAAACAGCGCGCAGGCATATGGGCCTCCAGAAGCACATGCATATGCAACGCATGACAGATTCCTCCGTGTCGACCCGAGGTCAAGAAATCCTCCAAAGTCAAGGGAGCCTTCACACTCAGTCACCCCCCCGCTTCCTGTTATGTCCTCCTGACAACGCCGCAATATGTCCCAGGTATCGGAGGAGCGTCCCAAAGTTTCTGCATCGTTATTTCAGCCAGATTTCCTCTTGAGACACGAGAAGAAACTGTGAAACATCTTTTATTTATCTTTCCAAGCACGAGGAACTGCCGGCTATCCGATATCTGTCCAGCTGTAAAGCCTCATATTTTGGCATCATTTCCTGCAGCTAATGTTTCACTCCTAATCAAGTCCATCAGGATTACTCAGAGTGGAGGAAACCTAAAGGGCTGCCGGAGACAAATGAGGGAAAGTTCTCGCTATTCCCACAGCAACGTCTCATGTTTCAAAATCTCTTTTTTTTTCGGCAATAAATGAATTAAACATCTCTGCTTTTTTTCCCCCATTGGCTGTCCGCTGCTGGCCATCAGAATAGAAAAGCCACCACAAACAATGGACACACATGTATGGCCTGATGACAACTAACGATGCATCGTTTATGTCAGAAAAGTGCTGAAAAAGTCAGAATGCGACGGAGTGAGTGAGATGACAAAAATCTCAGACTTCTCTGAAACCCGGACAGTTAAACGCGGAGCCGTGTGTATGACCGGTAACCACTAACCTCCGAGGACAGAATTCACAGAGTGACATCTTAACATCGCTTTGCATAAGCCCCCGAAACGTCCAGAAAGAAAGGAGGCCGGAATGTGTACACGCGTGTCGCCGGCGCTGACAGGCCTTTAGGACCGAGGACAAAACTTTGAGGCGTGAGCGCTCCTCCCCCCCCTCCCTCCCTCACCCGGTGGGTGCCGAGGCGCTGACACCGCGGGATTAGTTTGATGGAACTGGTTTGACAAGCGGGAGACCGTAACCTCTTTTGAATAAGACACAATTCAGAAGGCTCACATAACTCTCCTCCGTCTGAACTCTCTGCTCTCGGGTTTTCCCCCCCAGAAGCCAGAAAAGGAATTGTTACGTTTACTGAGATTCCCCCGACGATTTCTTAACAAAAATCATATTTCATTGTTCTCTGGAAATGCTGACCCGTGACCTGCTAAGCTAGGCTAATAGGCTAATAGCTCCATACCAGCAAAGGAATAGAAGCAAACAATGAAAAGAAAGTGTTTTCGTCCTGCATCGGCAGTTAAATTAAAGACTCTGCTTTTTAAATAAGTGATTTTACTTCACGGAGTAATGGAGACAAGTGTCAGATTAAAATGGATTTTCTGTACATCTAAAGAATTGTTGAGCCTCCGTAAGGCGACGCACATAAACAAGCCCATCTGCAGGCGGAGATGCAGGTGAACACAATCTATGGAAAACATTCAGGGGCGGGGGGGTATTTTCTTTCTCTTAAAGTATCACTTTGTATCAGTGCAGGTCAGGTTTTATTTTATTTTTTATTATTTACTTTCTTTTAAGCCTATTTGATCAAACGTCGAGTCAGAAGCCAAATATGTCAGACGGATGTGCGTTGTCCATTTAGCTGGGAAATGAGTCGTGTTGGTTTAAAAAAAAATGAAGACGCTTGCGCAGTGAGTAAAGAGTTTTTCGAGAGCAAACAGATTGACGGGTTAGTCCGGGTGTTTTGACCCGGGTTGGGATGTGATTTGTGTCGAAGGCTCCGCGTGCTTGGAGGGAGTCCAGGTGCCGTCCGTCTGCATGAAGGCTTTTATTCCATTTTCTGCAGCATTAAACAATGGCATGGCCTACACTTTATCGAGGTACAATTTACTTAAAAGTAATTGTTTAAAAAAATTAATTTACAAATTATTGAAATAGAATGGCAAAAACAAAAATGGCAAATCTCAGCCAAATAAACCAAATTATTGTTTTTGCCATTCTATTTCAATAATTTATTTGGTTGAGATATGCCGGTTCCTGGGTGGGTATGTGTGTGATGATAACGTGTTCCAAAGTGCACAGCATGACTGCTGACTAACAGAAAAACTGTGTAAAAATACATCCCCTTTGGTGTCCCGATGCATTATGCAGGAGCTCTACAATCCGGTAACCGGAATGCATATGCATAGTTTAAATACGTACATATTTTGTAGCATAGTAAGGGTTTATTCCCCTTTAAACCCCCAACTTCATCCTGCAGCAGCCGCCTCCTCCCGTGTGCTTTTCGGACGGCGATGACGAAGAGCCGATGTTCAGTTGACACTTTACTGCAAAGATGGAGAGCGAAAAGAAAGAGGCCTTGGATCTGCCCTTTTCTGTGCCTGTCGCCTTAATCTATACAGCCCCCCCCTGTGCCAACACACACTCCATAATATGATTTGTCAACAGTGTACAACATGAAAGAGGACAGAGTGTTAATAGAGAGAGAAAATCAAACTGAGACGGTCAGCGCCGCGGAGGTGTGACGGGAAATAGATATGAGTGTAACGCCGCGGCATCGCCCTCCTCCCCGCGGTGCAATTCATCCTCTCTACTGCCGGTCGGCACAATTAGCTCTCGCCTGATAAAACAACTCTCCTTGATGGTCTTTTATATCTACGTTTTTCTTTTTTTCTTAAAGGGGCCACGTGGAGCTTTTCATTGTAACACATGACTTGTTGCATTGGAACCCGAGGAGACGCACAGGAGCTCCTTTTAAGCAGAAAACGTCTTTATTTTGTCATAACAAATGACCTGCATTGACGTCACATGCCAACAGAAAAATGTGCTCCTCTTTTATTAGGTCTAAGTTCTGCTTGTCAGGATGTTGTTAGCTTAGCTTAGCTGAAAGACTGGGAACTGGGGGCAACAGCCTGCCTGGTTCTACCCAAAATAATTGCCTAAATTATGTACAATTATGTTTTAGAGGGAAACCAATTTTCTCCCATCTTTGTTTGACACGGTTAGGAGAGGGAGGAGGGGGGGGGGGGGGGCCGGACTGCGGCGGCTCGTCTCTGTTCGGGCCTCGCCGGCTTCTCTCCCTCTGATTCGCTTCTCAATCTCTGCCGTATCTCCTGCTTCATCTGTGCACTTCAGGTGCTCGAATGGAAGCCACTGATTGGCTTGCAGGAGGAGCAGGAGGAGGAGGAAGAGGAAAAGGAGGAGGAGGAGGGGGGGGGGGGGTGAACAGAGCAGAGGAGCGGGGGCCTGGGAGAGCTGTCCCTTGTTTTTTCGCAGCCGATGGCCGCCGCTCTGTCCGTGCCTTATCTGTGGCGGTTTCACCTTCGCCGCGGTAACAATGCCGGCCTTTGTGCGACCTTTTGTCCCGTTGTTCTGTTCCTCCAGTCGATACGGCCGGTGAACCACAACAACACGGCTCTCCTCGTTTTTGCCCCCCCAGAAAAATCACTTACATTGAGCTGATCTCGAACACGTGTACTCGGTTATTGACGGGTTCACTGGAGGAATGTGGACTTGTTGCTGCTGCTCATTGGTAATTGAGGAAGGAGAGTGATGCAGTAAAGGGAAACGCAGGTGTCCTTGTGTGTTTATTGTTGTGCACACGTTTCCGTTTGTGAAAAACAAAGAACATCACGGACCCTTAATTAAAATGGGAAGAACTTGGGCTGCGGTCGGGGAACCTTTCAGTAGACCTGCTCGACTCTTTGTCCGGCTTCTTTAACTTTTCCCTCCGCGCCCCCTCGTCCCGCCAGCCGAGTCCTCTTGCTGAACTCTTGTTGTCTCTTTCCATCGAGCTGCAGGTGTAAGTAATAGCCTGGACTGGATAAACTGGATAAATACACCCCCCCCCCCCCCCCTCACTCCCTCGTCATGAAGAACGAAGCTCCTCGGGCAAAAGCGCCTGGAAACATGTGCAAAAGGCCCTGCATGATGGACGGGCATTGCAAAGGAGCCCAGAGCAACGGAAAATTAATATTGAGAGGGGAAATAAATAAATATACATCTGTGACGATGTACCAGACGATGTCCCAGAGCTCAGCCTCTGTTCGTTTTTATTAATGTTTTATCCCTTTAAGGAGGAGCCGCACTATATCTGCATTCATATGCTTTTAATCAGGTGTGATTTCTGGCATCACTAAAGCAGAACAGCTACACAATGATGTTTTAAATGTGTGTGTGTGTGTGTGTGTGTGTGTGTTTTTTTTATCGACTGCATCACGCTGATTGAAAAGTATTCCAAAGCTTGAATTGACCTCCTTTGGTCAGCAAATATTGTATCGGCACCTGAGAATAACGTGACAATAAGCAACAAGAATGTGTCGAATATAATATATATACAATCAGTCTCCCCCGTTTACATTATAAACGTGAATGATTTTAACCCGTAAAGAAACAGATCCATACATGCTGCAGTAAGCGGGGTCGTCTTGACACAGCTGCAGTCTTCTCAGATAAACACCAAAACTGATTAAAATAAATCTCTAATTGGAAATTAGTTACGTAATCTTTGAACGTGTCCCTTGGGCCTTTTTGCAAAAAAAAAAAAAAGCTGCATACATTCAAGTACATTCACGTCCTCATTTCTGTTCTTTTTAACCGGTATTAAAAATGCAATTATCATTGCTGCATCATCCAAGTGGTCTTGTCGTTCCTGATGTGAACCCCTGAGCTTGAAGCCTTACACTGTATGATCCCTCCTCTTCTACTGCGTTTTCTCCACCAGAGGAGCTACATGCGGTTTTATCCGTATTTACGTGTCTCTTTTCATAATAAAACCTTGAATGGCCATGTTGGCCACTATTACTCAACCGCTGCTCCACTGGGTTACGATGAAAGCTTCCCTTTGAGGTAAAGAGTGGCCTTGGTCTTCTGCAGAAGTCCAATGTCACCTTCACGCGTGGCGCTCTCCGCCCACAGCGGAACCAAAGTCCTCGGTTATTCTTCCATGACGGTGTTGGCAGCCTCGCCGTTTGATACCGCGAAGGTCCTTCGCTCTCCGCTTCCCACAAGCGCTCTGTTTCTGAGGTTAAATCCTGCATTTGAGGCCCCTCAGAGCGAGGGGACACACACACACACACACACCGGCTCTCTTGACAAAGAACCTTCCCGCACATTGTTTTAAAAGGCGGCGGTGACAAATGGAGCGGATGTGTTTGGAGAAAATACGCGGCTGTAGAAGATTAGAGAGAAGGATCCGGTTAACGCTGTGAGAGTCTTCGTTTTCATGAACCATCCCCTCCCGTCTCCCCCTGTCTTCTTTCCTCAGGGTTTTTTCCGGCGAAGCATCCAGAAGAACATGGTGTACACGTGTCACCGGGACAAGAACTGCATTATCAACAAGGTGACGAGGAACCGCTGCCAGTACTGCCGCCTGCAGAAGTGCTTCGGAGTGGGAATGTCCAAAGAGTGTGAGTTCACTGAGCGCGCTGATATGAACCTGGAATAGAGACCGGCATGGGGTCGGAAGGGAGAGGTTTACTGTCCACACAAGGACGGCATGCACAGAGATTTATGATGTATGAGGCATTTGTCAAAACGACATGGTTTTGTTTTGTGTGGTAGATGATTGAAGTCCTGAATTCTGTTGCTCAACGTGAGTTACATCAAAAAATAATCTTGACACTTGACTCAAAGGTATCGTGGGTTTGAGATGTAATGGACCAACTCATCGCCAAATTAGCTTCTGTTGGTGACTGACTGATGGGGAAAAGCCCCAGAAGTGACTCATGACCCATAAGGTCCGAAATCTCAAAAGAAATGCAGAGTAGTTATAATTTGCAGGTATAGAGCAAGGACGCCACATGGCCGATGGCGTGAAAAGTTCTCCTCTTCTTGGACAGATGAGATGTAATCCGGTGTCGGCCCCGATGCTGTGGGTGTGATGTGGGGATTAGTAATTATCTGAGCCTCCTGATAGCTCGTCCTCCACATACGTTACTCCATCTCCTGCTCCCTCTGCTCGGTTTCAACCGGTGAAGAAGCGTTGCGTCACTCACAAAGTGTCGTCGACAGCCGGGAATTGAAAAAAAAAAGATGCGACGAACCGATAACAAAAAAAGAGGGATGCGGAGCCGCCGCCTTTAGCAAACCCCGCGTCTCGCGTCGCCCCTCGTCCATCGTCATCCGAGGGAACGGTTTGCATTTCACAGGTTATTGGCGTCCTTTGATTGCATCAGCATTCATAGCTCAGGTCCACTTCGTGCTCCATTAGCCTCGGTGAGGGGGGGGGGGGGGGGGGGTTCCTTTCTCTTATGCTGTTTCACACCTCAGCAGAGGAATCATGGAAAAGATGATGTCTTGATATCCTCCGGCCACAACCCCCTCCCCCCCCTCAAAATGTACCAAGATATTGTGCAGACTGAATACTCAGTTGTGGAGAATTTATGTTACTCAAGGTAATACGACCACGAGAGTGCTTCACTACTTGGTCATTGTACAGCTCAGGGATTGACTTCCTCCACCTCGTTGTCCTCACTTACATCCCGCAACGCATTCACATCTACGTTCCGATGGCCGGAGGTCTGAAGGCAGAACGGAACATCTCCATTCGGTCGCGGCTGTATGGGGCGCCGTTTGTAAAATGTTGCACGTTCTAAAATCCTGCGCAGTTTTGCTACATGCTAAATGTTAAATGTAAATGTTGAATGTTAAATGTTAAATGTAAATCTTAATGTTAAATGTAAATCTAAATGTTAAATCTAAATCTAAATGTTAAATGTTATATCTAAAAGTTAAATGTAAATGTTAATGCTAAATGTAAATGTTACATTTTAGATTTAACATTTAGATTTACATTTGACATTTATATTATTTAACAACTTTGTGTTACCGTCAAACATTATCCTTGGAAAAGTTATTGCATGAAATTACATGAATTTCTCTCCAAATGTTTGAAAAAGTGACATATGGATATTGTCGTGCTTTTTTGTTCATATTTCACATCTACGTTCCGATGGCCGGAGGTCTGAAGGCAGAACGGAACATCTCCATTCGGTCGCGGCTGTATGGGGCGCCGTTTGTAAAATGTCGCACGTTCTAAAATCCTGCGAGTTTTGCTACATGCTAAATGTTAAATGTAAATGTTAAATCTAAATGTAAATGTTGAATGTTAAATCTAAATGTTAAATGTAAATCTAAATGTTAAATGTAAATCTAAATGTTAAATGTTATATCTAAAAGTTAAATGTAAATGTTAATGCTAAATGTAAATGTTACATTTTAGATTTAACATTTAGATTTACATTTGACATTTATATTATTTAACAACTTTGTGTTACTGTCAAACATTATCCTTGGAAAAGTTATTGCATGAAATTACATGAATTTCTCTCCAAATGTTTGAAAAAGTGACATATGGATATTGTCGTGCTTTTTTGTTCATATGATAATGCTAAATGTAGCAAAACTGCGCAAGATTTTAGAACGTGCGACATTTTACAAACGCGCCACATACGGCTGTACGTTACAAAACACCACTAGCTAAGTTTCTCCGTGTGGTCGGATGCCTCCAGTACGGCCGCACGCACGCAGGCCGCACGACACCTGAGAGCTCACATCTGTAGCAGCAGTTCAGTCTGGAGCCTGAGTCAAAACACGGGGGGGGGGGCACTGATTTTGGAACCTGCACTCGTGCTATCATGTGCCTCTGGAGATTACTGAGCCGCTACTTAGACTGCAGGACAAAGGGAAGCATTGTTTATGTGTGTGTGTGTGTGTGTGCGCGCGCGCGCTGCACCAGCAGGTACGCCAACGGACGCCTGGTTGCACAAGTTGTGCTTTTGTATTTTCTTCAGGAAACACAGAAACGATCCATTAATAACAGGGTGGATCTGCAGAGCCCGAAGAGGAGGACGGCGTGTTTGTTATGGGTGTGTGCGCGAGAGGGGTGATTTGTTCAGTTCCACCGGCCTCGAATATTCAGCGTCACGGGATGAGACGGAGACAAAGGAGAGTTTGACTGAAACTCGACCAATATACACAACGTTTACACTGCCATGTAAATGTAACACGCACTCACCAGCCGTGACACACGTAACATAGCTGCTCGTGTCGACTCACGGATTATGGTGAATTATGTCCTTCAGGTATGCCGGGGAGAGGGGCGTCTGGAATACACGGTTTAGTCTGGATGAAAATGCACAGATAAATGTCCTTAGTTTGCATGTGGTTCACCTCAACGCATGTGGTTCCTATTCACAAAATACATTTTTTCTACATTTCTCTTTGTGCATTTGTAAATTTAATCTCAGAGAATGAAGAGGTATTTCCTTGTGAATCTAATCTAGGAAATAATGTTTTTTTTTCATTAAATACTAAACCCTAATACACCATCATACAGCTCCGAGATCAGCTGGTAAACTGTTAAAAATATGTGTTTTTTTCTTCTTTTAATCCCATCTGTGCCTCTGGAGCAGCAGCAGAACCATCATGAGATTAATTCAGTTGCTCTCATTCTCATTCCTGCTCCAAGGTCATATGTTCTCAGTGCAGGTTACCCCTCTGACAACCCCCCCTTCCCCCCGTCCCATCAGGACCGTTAGCTTGAACCCCCCCGATGCTCCGGTAGCAAGGAAGAATTACACCGTTTGCTCGACACCCACCTGGCAGGTTTTTAAGCGAGCTGCCGCGTTAAGTGCCGTGTGGCAAGTGGCCCGGATCCGAATAGCGAATAGCGTTCATTTAGCGCCGCATCTGTTTGCCCACGGAGACGCCGCGCAGATGGCTCGACCCCGCCGGGTTCCTCGGAAACGACCGTCCGCGCCGGGCTGCCGGCCCGAGCCACGCGGCACAAACCCGACAGAGAACAGCGCCGCCGTGCGAGAGGCAGGCCGGGGAAGTGTGGTTTGCTCCGACGCACCGGAGAGCACATCAGACACCGAAGACTCAAAGGCCGACAAGGCCTGATCATCGCGACCCATTGACGCAGCCCGTCAAACGGTTGCGAGACGTTTTAAAGTGTATTCTTAAAAGGAACTGACGCAGGGGAGAATTAGCGAGGCGGAGAGCTGTTGAGACTTTTAACCTTAAGGCATCGCCAGTAAACGGGCTTGTTTGTGCGAATGGCACATTATAAGCATTAATAATAAGGCAGCTATTATGTGCGAGTGAAGAATCTGACGTTCAAAGCAAAAGTCCTGATTAGCGAAAAGGACTTGATTGTAATGCTATCAAGGTCCCTCTAGACTGTCACTATTGTGGAATATTTTGGGACCTCAACAAAACGGGAGGAAATGAAGGGTGTCGCGTTTTTAGCATCCGATAAGCCTTCAAACATGTGGACCTGATGCTCAAACTGACCAGTCGTTATTTAATAATTCTGCCCGTGGCTTCTGCCCCGTGTTCTTTCTTCAACTCGGGGCCCAATAAGTCTGAATTTCACACAGAAAACAGGAGCCGGACGGACACTGAGAAGGCAGAGAAGAGTGCAGATACGTTTCGTGGAAAAGTGATCAGCGGTCCTGATGAGAGTCCCTGAGCTGGAGGGACTCCCCCTGCTCCTTTTGTGCATATTAAAAAGCCATATATTTTCATGGCCTCTTGTCCAATGCATCATTTGGATGCATCCGCTCATGCTCGCAGTAATTTGCCTGGAGTGCGGCGGTAATTGATTGCCCCGGGACGGTGGGTCTCGTGGCTCGCAGGGAACCGCAACAACCCCCTCCTCGCCAGACAGTTTGTCACCACGCTATGACAAATGACACGCAGATTGTGTACCATCCCCTCTTCGCTATGCCATCACTCCACACCACCCCCCTTCCGAGGGGCAATGTTCTCTGTTGTGTGTGTGGACAGAGACTCGCTGTTTTGTCCTGTGTGTCCTCTCCTGTGGATGTTGCTAATCCACTGAAAGCAGTATTTTAGATGACACACAGCTGCTGGTGTTCTCGAAACATGGTGATGGGGATAAAAATAAGATGCTATTTTGCCCACGGAAATGAGCAAATCCTCCATCTCTGGCTTTGGATGCATGTAGGACTTAGATGTCGGTCTAAAAGAAGCGCTTTGTTGTCCGAGACACGGCCCGCTTAGAGGGGAAATTAAAAACCGTCCTTCCTCGAGAGCAGGGAGACGCGACCAGGACATTTTGAACATGAGGACAACGTCACACATTTCCAGACGTTCATGACGCTGCACCGGAGTGACGCCGTGTGTCAAGAGACTGCACACACGGAGGGAAGTGCGTCGGATGAAGCCGGCGTGGCCAGATAAAACAGTATTTACGGGGATTCCTCTGCGAGGTCAAAGCTCCTCGTTGTGCACATTTTGTGGACGGATGAAGGCAGATTGGGTTGTATTTGCACAATGTATTCATACTTTCTTTTTGCTAACAGTAGATATTTACAGCCAGACACAGCAGTGCAAACATTTGAGCTGTGACGTCGGTGAATATTGTGTCTGAACTTCCTCCTGATTTGTTTTTCCAACTGACGCCACTATAGTAGCATCAGAGAACAAATGTGAAAGATACAGGTTGTCCTGATCCTGTGTTCATTTGTCCCACTTGAGGACCTTGGACTGAGGACCTGTTGCTGGTCTCCTGAAGGGACACATCGCTTCGCAGTGCGTCGTTACCTCCCTCAATTGTCTCGGTTCCATGTGGACGTTGCGTACGAAATGGCTGTCGCTGTCACGGAGACAAAGACAGGAGCGAATAATGAATGAGAAACTAAAGGTGGAACAGAAGTGCACGTGTGAGCTTGTGAAGTAAGCTCAGGAATACAAATTCAATTTCAAATCTTAGCCTTGGAAACATACATTTTTAAAGCCTTCTGTTCATATTTTGCTTCATCAGCACTCATTAGAGTGTATTACCTTGCAGTGATGCACTGGTCTGATTGCGTTCCACATCTGTCTTTTGTTTGAACGCACCGGAGAGCTCGGCTGCAGGTCTCTATTGCTCCGCTTCCAATCGCTCCTTCTCGATCAGCTGCACCGGCTGCGTTTCATTCAGCGTTAGCGGCTTTTCTCTGTGGAGCGCTAGATTGAAGGAGGCCCGAAGGCTCCGTATCATCTGTCAGTCAAACCCCCCCCTCTCCTCCACACCGGCACTGTAAAACCAAGACGAAAGCTGCGGTTCTCCCATCACTGGTTTCGTTTTATCCCGATGAAGATCATCAGGTACATCCAGGCACTGGTTTACTAATCGTGTAATCACATTTGACGCAGTTGAATGGATATTGAATGGACATATAGGTCACAGATGTAGGTCGAAATGTGTGCAGTGATTAACGCCTAAAACACGCAGTCTTATTCTGAACGTTGACTCCGCTTTCCCTTCGAGGCTTTGAGTTGGTCCGCTGAGATTTGAGGCGTGGATGGAATGTGTCTCGATGGGTCAAAATCAAACATTTGTAGCACATAGTTCACGCATGTGACCCGGTGTGCATTTGCTTACATATTTTGATTGAATCCCGGCTGTTTGTACGATCTTTGTCTTTCTACGCTGAATTGAGTGCATCGATTAAGGTATTGTCTGCAAAGCAGAACGGAGATTTTAGCATTAATGGCTGATTTTGCGGTTAAACAGTATAATTTAACAATATGATTTAGTGAAATCCGCTATGAACAACAATCATTCTGTCTGCTGTATTGTGACACCATGTTTTTACTGTTTGTTTTTTTATCCTCAACCGCAGGGTTGTTTTTTCACAAAATAATTCGAATGCATTCGAATAATAATCTAAATTGCATACTTTGCACCGGGGGCTCTACACAATACTGTGTATCTGCAGCAGCACTAAACCCCAACCTGCTTTCCCCCGTTCATCTACCGTAGTGCATCACGGGGTCACGCGTGAATGTAAAGGGCTTCATGGTAAACTAGGGCAGAGGACGTGTCTGTTGTGTTGTCAGCCAGGGGGGACGTCCCCTGGGTGTCTCTGCGCCGCCGCCGCCGAGCCCCGGCTCTTTCTCTCCGGCTGAGGCTGAGGAGACACCCCTGATGTTTAGACGATCACGCCCGATTGTTCGGACCTCCTGCTGTGACAGACTTCAGGGGATCTACACAACAACCCGCGTTGTCGTGGCTGCTGCCTGTTTGGGCCCCGTGGGACTCTCTGCGTTTGGGTTTATCTGGGATTTGATTATTCGGGGCGATGCACAATCATCCGTCAAGCAGCTTTAATCCACAGGAGAGAAGACAAATATTAGTGGATGTGTCCTTGCTGCTGAATGGACACGCTTAATAACATCACTACTAACACAACCTTTACAAAAACAGCTACGAGAGACTTTGTTTTGTCCCTGACTTTTAGAACCTTCATCCGCTGTCATATTGTTTCAGTCATTAGGCCTGAACTTTTCACAAAATGAATGAGGTAAGTCAGTGATTAACTTGATTGATGTGTTGAGGCACATAAAAAAAAGCACTCGAGTTTTCACAGACACTTTTGTTTTCTTCACTTTTGGAGACTTTGCCAGCAGCACTAAGCTGACAGAAGGCCGACTGCAGCTCCAAACCTTTTGTGCTTGTGTAAGGTCTCAGTCTAGCATCTGACAGCACTCTGCTGCATCTCTTAACAAGTAACCAGAAGAATAAAAAAGTTCTGTTGCCTTCCAAACGTGTTTGAAGTTCACGTAGCGTGTCGCCGTTGACGCTAATCCACAATCTTTTGTTCTCCCTCAGCCGTTCGGAATGACCGCAATAAGAAGAAGAAGGAGAGCCCAAAGCTGGAGCTGGCGGAGAGCTACGAGCTGACAGTCGAGCTGGAGACCATCATTGAGAAGATTCGTAAGGCCCATCAAGAAACCTTCCCCTCCCTCTGCCAGCTTGGCAAATACACCACGGTGAGTTCGGGCGGGCCCTCGGCTTCGCTCGCACTTCTCTTCGAATCGCAAAAAACACGACGCGCCGTGTGCTCCTTCGATCCGGTCCAGCTGCAGGGCTCATGATGATAATCAATTACTTGCGCTGTACTCTAAATCCGGCCTCGAGGGCACGGCTGTACACAGCTGACCGTACGGGGCGAATCTCCACACTTCTTCTCCTCTCAATAGCTGTGGATTTGGACATTGAGTGTTTACCCCAGGATGTGAATGTAGCAACGGAGGAGGAGCTCTCGGATGGAGATGTCTGGACCGGGAGACATTGCCGCAAGCCGATGGTTTTTGACATTTTCGAAAAACGGAATAAAGGCGGCCACTCCAGCTAATCAACGAACGCTTCAGTAAATCCCCCAAACGGGGCGCGGAGGTGACGGATTTGTGCGCTAATGTGCGGGCGGGTTTGAGCTGAGGTGGGTGTGTCGCCAACGCTCGTCTGGGTTTTTTTTATCGTCGCCCGTCGTCAAGGCTGAGAAGCCCGCGGCTGTCCCTGAACCTCCCGCCAACCGCGCCAACCCGCCGGCGCCGAACTAACAACCCGTGAAGGGCCACGACGGCGAGGGGGGCGCTAATCCACGCGGGACCTTGAAGGAGAGTCCCGTGTCAGTTTGGACGCGTCGGGGGGGGGGGGGGGCCTCCCTCGCTCGTGCGGTTTCAAAGCGGGCCGGGCCCTGTAGAAGGAACTGTACCCCCCCCCCCCCCCCCCCCACCCGCCCCCCCACACGTCCCCCCACCCGCCCCCCCACACGTCCCCCCACACGCACACACACACACACACTCATTTGAGTGACAGTGAGCTTCTCTTTGTCCTCCCGCGCTCGTCACGACTGGGTGTTTTCAAAAAGTTGGAGGTCGCGCTCAATGTCGAAGAAAACCTTGTTTCCGCGGAGTCGTGCGACGCTTTGACAGGGTGGGGGGGGGGGTGGAGGCGAGGGTGGGGGGGGTCCGGTCCGAGCCGCAGGACGGCTGTCAGCTCGATTGACACGTCGGGCTGACAGCATTTGTTTTTTTAAGGTGGCTCACATATAGATCACAGCCGTGATTGACAACGACGGTGTAGGGAAGTGTGTGTGTGTGTGTGTGTGTGTGTGTGTGAAGGGGGGGGGGGGCATGTTTGGTGATTTGGTGGTGCCATTTGTGGAAATCTCTCGACGCCTGTCAATCATGTCAAGCGCTGCTTTTCGTTTCAGCAACACGCGACCCCGCTGGGCGGTAATGGAGCTCTCGTTCCGCCGATGACAGTCGTCCCTGGCGATGCGTTTTGGGGGCGGAGCTAGTTGAGAGGTGTTGAAGTGGTTCCCGTGTGCGGTGCACAGTGTAAGCTCCCATCTCCATAACTCTGTATCCCCCCCCACCCCCCTAACCCCCTTCAGTCCCAACACAAAGCTCCTGATCGCTGTAACCCCTCTCTACTCCACCCTCATCCCACGAGGCACTTCAATGATTATCTTTACTAAATAAACAGTCAGCATTGCGGGGAGGGGAAAAAATGCAGAAATCTTGCTGGCTGCTTTTGACACGAGCCAGTGTTTGCTGGAGTGGCAGGCCGGGCCTCCGATAAAGCCCTAATCTGGATCAGCGGTAATTATGCCGGCTCACAGACTGTGAGAAGTTCCTCATTATTACAAGCGATTGGATCCTGATGCGCCTTTTGAGTCCTCCTCGGCGGAAACACAAGAGGAGCTCCCGCGCCCCCCAGATTAGGTTAAAGCTCCAATTATGTGGTGAAATATTCAAATCCTAGTCTGCGGTGATTTAGGAGTTCATTGCCGGGTTAGCGGAGATGCAGCCGCGCGGGTGAGGGCGGCGGCTTAGCCCGGCGCCGAACAACATCGCTCCGCCGGCAGTGACGCTGATGAAGAACGAGCTTGGCGGGGTTTTGAAAAGACAAAATGAAACACGGGCGCCCGGCGGCCGCGGGGGGCTGTTCATCACAGGTGGTGCTCTTTCACGGCCTTTTTCCCCCTCGGATGTCGTGCGTAGCGGAGCTCATCTCTCCACCGTCAGCTCCTGCTTCTAATGTCGCGGGTCGTCTAATTTGTTTGGATAAATGTTCTTAAATGAAATTAGAGTTCCCCGGCTTCTTCCTTGTTTCGCTCTATTGAATTATGGGACTTGTGTAATTGACTGAGATTGCACAGAGGGGGGGGGGGGGGCGGAGGGGCCTTCTCAGCTCCTCCCCCTTTCCTCCCTTTCACCCGTGTACCCGGAGGGGAGTGCAAGATAAGTTGCTTTAATATCGACCCCCACCCCCCCACAGCATATGTGCATTGTGCAAACACACACACGCGCGGGCGTCTATCAGTGGAATGTGCGTCCGTAGTGCCGTTGTGTCGACTGCGGCTCGTTGTCCGTGATTTAAGCACGGCCCTAATGTGCCTCTCACTTAACCCCAGATCACATCAGATGATCTCTCTCTCTCTCTCTCTCGCTCTCTCTGTCGGCCACAATGGATCGTTTGCTGCTCCCGGTAACAAACCTCTGGGGGATCGATGTCTCCGCGGCCTCCTCGGCTCGGGCCTCCATATTGAGTGGAGCAACGGAGATCACATGACTTCTCCCACCAGCTTCTTTTTTTTTTCTTTCGTCGACTCAAACCTGGCATGCAGTTCAGATGTTAATGTTCGGTTCTATCTTCACAGCTCGGTTTTATGGTCGGTGCTTGATGGGCGGAATCAGTTCTCTCGAGCTTAGATGTTTGCTTTGGGCCATAGATAATAATTTAGTCCGTATTTCTACACCCAAATAATATTCTAGGCAATATGAAGTATGCTTTTAGAAATGTATAATTATTATAGCTATTATACAATTATTTAATTGAATGGCAGATTAAATATGTAAAAGTTTATTCAGACAAATTCTCATGTAAAAGGGGGAAGAGAAGTAAAAGAAACGCCGAAAATAGTTGTTTGAACTCTGGGATGTGAATTCTTGGCCTCCAGTGTGCGCTTGTTGGTCTGAATGTGGTTGTTTCACAAGCGCCTGTGACTCACTGACAAATTATAGCACAGTTTGCGTGAACTGGGAGATTACATAACACTCCTGTGACTCCTGCAGCTTTTATTCTGAAAGCTGCAGAGTAGAAACGTGTTGGTTTGTCTGTTCAAAGTGTGCCAGGAACCCAAACCGGGTTCTCTTAGGCTGGAGAACCATGTACGGTTCTAGGTGACACTAGGAGCCTTTCTGTCACCAGAGAGCACTGTGAAGGTTCTGGTTAGTCACTGTGTGTGTGTGTGTGTGTGTGTGTGTGTGTGTGTGCGTGCGTGTGCGTGTGTGTGTGTGTGGCTACATGTGGAGGCTCACTCATGTGGAACAGATGGGCAATTCCATGTAAACCATCAGAAAACCAACAAATGATCATCAGATGCTCCCACCACCGCTACGGCTTCTCCCTCGCTCCACCCAAACCATTCCGCCCCCCCGACCATCTGAATCTGTCCGTCACACCGTCTTCTGCTCCAATGTTCCCTCTTTTTATTCCTCTTCTCCTCCTGGCGGTGTTTCAAACTCACAGCAGCTCTGGTCAATGTGTTTGAAATGATGTCGAGCTCAATGCGTTTCGTTTGAGTCCAGCTTTGGAGACGTGTCGGTCTGGGACATCACTGGACAGCTTGGATGTCTCACTGTGGCCCGATTCTGACCAGACTGAAGTTCTGTGGGAAACGTTTAGGTAGAACACGACACGCCTGAATGGAAAAGCTGCCTCTTCATTGCTTTGTCGCGAGAAATATAATTAGTTGCAGCCCGCAAAACGATGAGCAGTAGTTCCAACATTCCAGAATAATAATGATGGAAGTAAACCGTTAAAGGAGAACACCTGGAATAATCTCACACATCATAGATCGAAGTTTACAATCAGGAATTAGAGGATAGCTCTTATCCAAGTGATTAACATCATTTCCACCACCAGGACCACCGAGCGTGTTTACCTCTGTCAGCATCGCACGCCGATCCCCAACAATCACAAGTGGATGACACCGGCTGTCACGGGGTTTAAAAAAAGAAAATCAAAATCAACAAGGATGCTCCGTCTCCCTTGGCGGCCAGGCGTCATGAGAAGATGCAGCATCGGGCTTCTCTCCTCACACACTCACTCTGTCTCCCCCCCCCCCCCTCCTCTCTGGGCGTCTTCAAGCACTTTTTACTCCCCCCCACATTTCAATGCCTCCATCGCTCCATCGGCCTTTTCTCCCGGTCCCCTTCTCGTGCTAATGGCGCCTGCGGCTTCAAACCCCTCCGCGCCACCTGTCAGCGCTCTGCTTCTGCAGCACGGCGGCGCTCATTACCGCCGGGGTCCGGGCCTCAGCTCAGCCCGCTCACGACAACCACCCCGCCGGCGCCGCGTGCGAGCTCGGGCCTCATGGAGCCTGTTTACTGTGCGTAAGCGTGACACATAGAGAGCCAGAGTGAGGGAGGGGGGGATCGTTAGCGTGACGAGAGAGGCTGCCTCTTCTCTCCCTGTTCGCCACCGGGTTTGAATATGTGTGTGTGTGTGTGTGTGTTGCAGAACTCGAGTGCGGACCACCGTGTGAGGCTGGACCTGGGCCTGTGGGACAAGTTCAGCGAGCTGGCCACCAAGTGCATTATCAAGATCGTGGAATTTGCCAAACGAGTGCCTGGCTTCACGGCGCTGACCATCGCGGACCAGATCACGCTCCTGAAAGCTGCCTGCCTGGACATTCTGGTGGGTGTTCACGCTTTTATTTTGGAGTAGTTGTCGCCATGTTTTTGTTTGAGTATTTGAATCATCCGTAAAATGCAAAATGTAGTACGTCGACCATTAGGGTTCCGCAAGCTCTCCTTTTCCTCTTGATGCGGGTACTCATTCAATCAATCAGTCAATACTCGAGTCAGTTACGCAAGAACGTCAATTTATGCTCCAATTTATTTCCAAAATAAAACAATTATCTTAAAAACGCAACGTCTGGTGGGCCTTTGTTGCTGACATGCATCATCTCTGGATACCTAACATTAGCTGATGTTTTTCAAAATAATCAGTAATAATGGCTTCAGCAATAATGTGTTAATGCACATTCATGACTCCACCCAAATGTCAATAACCAATAATAACAGAGCAGTTCTGCGTGTGACAGGAACGTCTCCTCGCCTCTTTGTGATTTCCTAGTCTCTTTCCTGCCTTTGTATCTATATTTGGCACCGTACTGTTTGCATGAACAGAATGACAGACAAGCGGTTTAGATGCTTCTTCAGTAAACCCTTTAAAATATTCAGTAATGAGCTAAAAACCTCCCGACAACCGCGCACAGCAGTGACATAACAGCGTTACATAAACACACCTCGTCAGCGGATAGCGAGTCGTCTACTTCACTTTATTCCAGCATTTATTTTCCCCTCTTCTGTTGTTTCCCGGTCTGTTAGAATCCACAAATGCATGCGAGCGTGCGGCGAGTCAATAGCCTCAGATCTCCGGTGGGTTTGGCGGGTTTATCCGGCTCGCACTCGACCAATCCTCCACCCCCCAAACCTTATTGGACGACCTACTCAGCCCGTCAAAAGAGGAAGATGGGCGATTTATCGATCGCCGCAGTCAAAACACGAATCCTCAGTGGATTAGATCATACGCATGCGGAAACATTTTTCAGCTTCTGATCTACTGACGCGCATTGATGCAGAAACATGTGCAGAGTCGGCTGAACGTTTGTTTGTGGTTTAGATGTTAAGTGGAGCAACGCACTGCACTAATGAAGCAGCAGTAATGAGATGGAGAAAAGCAAACGGCTGCTTCTCTTCTTCTTCTCTCTCGTGCATTTCAGCCGCCTAAAACAACGGGACCTATTTTTGCAACCAGAGGAGTTGCCTCTTAAAAATATATACATAGATATTTATATATATTAATTACATAAAGTACCTTTAAGAGTATGTCTTAAGTCTTGGTTAGTTAGACCATCCGCTTTATTCTCAGTCTATTTCTGTCCTTAACTAATTGCTACATTTTATAATCAGTTACTGCACAAGAACAACTTTAAAGGAGCCAGTTTTTTGTAATGTCCAGGGTTAATTATAAGAGTGACAAAGCATAACTAAATGATTTTTTAATTAGTCAAGTTGTTCTTAAACCGGACAGGTCTCTCATTCTATTTCCTGGGACTGGATGGCGTGTAGCTGGTTACCGTGGAGACAGGTTTCTGCGTGCGACGGAGCAGCAGCTGCTCGCTGGTCGGTGTCTAATAGTTCTGTGGAGAAGCGGCCAACGCGCTCTAGTAGAAACAGCTGCCTGACAGTCTGAGCCAATCCAGCAGGCCCCTCTCCTCTCTTCAGCTGTTTGTGCGTCTGTGTTATTGCAACTGCACTGCAAAAAAAAATAAAACAGTTTAAATGGATTCTTTACAACTTGGCAACCGAAAATAATACTTGTATTATTATTACACATTATTTATTAACCATTAGTTTTCAAAAAGGCACCTGCAGCCCATTTGTCCTTAAAAGGTCAGAAAGGAGTGACATACGGGTCTGTCCGCAAAATCAACAATTTATGCATGAGGTTGCATATTTATGTGAGTTTGTAGATGCAAAGTAGCACAAATCAGTCACATCCACACACAACCTGGATAAATGAATGCTGATCAGCCGGAGGATTAGTTTGCTGTATGTACAGTATTCAGTGTGTGTGTGTGTGTGGCTCGGATTCAGTGGCATATTCTTGGACGGATTTCTGGAGTTTGTATTGACAATAAGTCACTCTGTCACGGCTGACGGAGCAGTTGGAGGGGAACTCCCAGGGACACCGAGGTGAGGAGTTGAAGGCCGGCTGTGATGACTTTCTGGCTCCCGCTCGGCCATCAACATCCGCTCGCCGGCACATTTCTGCGGTGAAGGGCGTAGGCATTGTGCATGGGCCCGGGTGAGGCAGTGTCAGAGGAGAGATCAAACACCGCGCGTGTGTGTGTGTGTGTATATATACGTGTGCGTGTCTAAGCGCGGGCCTGGCCAGCCGGTGCGAGTCACCGCCAGCAGCCATGTTTTATTCTGTTTCATGTTGCAGTCACGCCTGCCACTCACTGCCAGAGCCGGCCCACTCAAAAAGCTTCAAAGGCTGCTGTCGGCTTCACATTCACCATCAGTGGCTTCATTAGGCGCACAGACACGCACACACACAAACGCACACGCGCTCGGTGCAGCGGGAGACTCAAAGGTTGTTCTCTCTGAGTGTGTGGAAGGTCGTTTTTTTGGATGTGCTCTGTGTCTCTGGTGCTCTTTTTTGGACACCTGATGAGGGCCGAGTCTCGTTGCAGAGTCGACCTGGTTTACAGGCAGCAGTCAAAGAACGACGCAGTTTGTGGATTCGTATTTGACTTTGATTAAAGACTTTTTGTTTAGCTGATATCGTCTCACTTTCAAAACTACATTAACTGATTTTTTTTTGAGCCTCTGAAAAAAAAAGCTGAAAACCGCGTAACCGGATATATTGTCATCAGAGCTGTTTTCAATGAGAAACAACTGCTGGAAGGAACTTAACGGAAAACAAAAGAGCTAAAAGAGGCAGCAGGAGAGATAAATCCCTCCGGGTCCGTCACCATGAGTGACAGCTTAGACGTCACACAGTTATTTGATCAATTGTTATTTTAAAACTATTGAGTAGTGTAGCATTTTGTTCATTTGTTTGTGTGCTGTGAGTTCCGCATACATGTTGTGAGGGTAAAAAAAGGACAAATAAAAGCTCCTACAGGTAAATACAGAGTTTTCTGATAATTGTCATTTTGTAAAAATCTCAACCTGCTACGTGAGTTACAGCTAGAGACGATATTCCTGACTGTCTTGTTCACATCAGAAGTACACTCTGATCTTGAGGAAGACTAGAGGGCAGAAAGTGAAAACTACACTGTGTGTTTTTGTTTTGTTGAAACTGTTGCTTTGTTGATGATGAATAAATCCTTTGCTCTTGCTTTATGGATGAGTTGTAAACAATTAAGTTGTTCCCTTATCCTGAATTTGGTTCAAATCCATTGAGAATTTATAAATATATACATTCTTAATAAACGTATTTTCCTGCAGATCCTGCAGCCCTCTTTTCGGAGCGCATGGCCATATGGTCCAAATAGTCAGAGGCGTTCTACCCAACCTGGCGACTGATGATTTAGTGCTTTTCTACACTGACAGCAGCTTTAGGTAGACACCGACCTGCAAAACAACCGCTCGTCTTAGAGACGTCCAAAGCCAAACTCCATAAATCAACCCCAACGGTGCATCACTTAAAAGTTTCCCCCCTTCTCTCTGCCCTGCCTCCCCCCCCCAATCAGATCCTGCGCATCTGCACCAGGTACACCCCCGACAAGGACACCATGACCTTTTCAGACGGGCTGACCCTCAACCGGACGCAGATGCACAACGCCGGCTTCGGCCCGCTCACCGAGTTGGTGTTCACTTTTGCCAACCAGCTGCTGCCCATCGAGATGGACGACACGGAGACGGGCCTCCTCAGCGCCATCTGTCTCATCTCCGGAGGTGGGCGAGCCGGGGCATTTATCGAGGGAGGGGAGGGGGGGGGGCAGCAGGTTTGTTAGGGGTCCGCTTGGAGTCCGCCGAGCCTCTGAGAGACAGTTGTTTTAGGAAGGAAGGGACGCATGGTTCAGCCGCCGAAAAAGACAGACGTTGACCTTCGCAGTAAAGTTCTGGAGCCCTTCAGCGTGCTGCAGCTGACCAGCCAATTAGCCACCTGACATGGTGTGTTTTTGGCAGACGGGAAGGGGGGGGGGGCAATCAGTGACACGACTTCAACAGGATGCATCATCTTGTTCTCTAATAAATGACGACAGGGATTCAGAACATACCGTCGGTGCATTAAACACAGTGTTAGTCACATTCTGGATACATATGCTGTTATGTAACATTTCAGATGAATATGAAAAAGCAGATAAGCTCACAAGGAGGAGAAATGACGACGTCTTTATAAAGGAACTAATCCGATATCATCGGGACAATCAGGGTTATGTCCATTTGTGGCTGTTACATCTACTTACTTTATATTGACATTGCTAGATTGCGTTCGAGCAAATGATGAACATGTATGATGTAACTGAAAATAAATCCCTGTTTTAAAATCAGCTTTTGATAAAAACATCAAAAAACATCAAGAAGTCGACACTCTGATTCTGTACCGGGTGAAATTATCGGCTTTTTGCAGCCTAATTGAATCGTTTATTTAGCATAAATTCCGATTTAAATATAAAACCAGAGTTAATCGTGTCATATTGGAGCACATCGAGTGGAATGAATAAATCGAACCACGTTTGACTGCTCACCGTTTAACTAAGTCCTTCCTCCAGCTGATCGTTGAGTGCTGCCAGAATCCACAGGAGTCTGAAACCAGGTCAAACTCCAGCCGCTCTGTCGGGGGGGGGTGGTACAGGTACCTGACAACAGCGTCAGATAGCTGAGTGAAAATGTTTGAGCCCCCCCGTCTCCCCCAGAGGGGAGAATCAGCCCGCCAGCGCTAAGGCAATATATTGATTGCTATATTATTATTATATTGATCTCAGTTGGAAGGCGCTTTATCTTCTGATCTTTTCATGTGGGAGTGAATTTAGCGAAAGGAGAACACAAAATAAGATTATACGTGTTTGTCTCTCACACAGGATTTATTTATTGATGAGAAAATATGCTCTGTCGTGACCTAAATGGAGACCTGGTCCGTCTGTACCTCCAACCAAAAGTTGCACAGTCCTCCCCTTCGTTTTCTTCTCTCTCCTCCAGCTTTCATTTTCATTGGTGCTGCGGCTCTTTGACAATATTTATTTATATGCTGAATCCCCGGAGCCGTGGCAGATATTACAGGCTCTTGCATAATCCATGGGCAGCCAACACCTTTGAATGCATCGTAAAACGGCAGCGGCGGATGCCACGTGCACACACTGCCACCTTACGGCTCGGCGGTGCAGTGCGTGCTCCTAAAAGTCTGTGATGACAATTCATGCATCTGATAGTCAATCAAAGGAGCAAGGGAGTAAAGCAACTTTGGAAGAGGACTCAGAGGGTGAAAATGAGACTGAGGTCGCTCTTCCCCACATTGTGGGAATAAAAACAAAATTGGAAACGATGAAAGCACAATCAATCCGCTCTGGAGTTGAAAATAAAACAGCCCAAAGAAATAAGCGACGGTCTGTGAACGGAAGTCCGCTGGTCGTCTTCAAAGCGCCCCGGTCGGCGTTTCCCCGCCGCGTGAGCCTTTTAACACTCCGCTTATCAGAGCTTAACGCCGCGACGGAAAAGAAAGGATTCAAATGAGTTTTCTTTTTTTCAGTTATCTTATTGTAAGCATCTCTGCGTTCGCTCCTCTGCAGTAAATGAGTTTACACAAAGAGATAAACTCTTCCTCCTCATCCACAGCCGGCTTCATGCTGTGATACACGTGTTCAGACAAAGCAAAGACTTGGATTCATCACAGTTGAGCCGCAAGTCTGACTTGAATTGTGTGTGTGTGTGTGTGTGTGTGTGTATGTGTGTGCGTCAGACCGTCAGGACCTGGAGGAGCCCTCAAAGGTGGACCAGCTCCAGGAACCGCTCCTGGAAGCTCTGAAGATCTACGTGAGGAAACGTCGGCCCAGCAAACCGCACATGTTCCCCAAAACCCTGATGAAGATCACCGACCTGCGCAGCATCAGCGCTAAAGGTAGGAGGCATGTCAACTCAAAAGTTACGCTATGCTGCTGCCTTGACAACCGTTGCTATGGAGAATAGACCAGTCACGGGGCGCCAATCACAGCAGTAGAAAAATTCAAAACGTTCCTGAGCTGGGAAAAAAAAAAAGGATCCAAAAGGAATGTAGCGTCTGAAAATAAATTGTTTTATCGGATTCCTCAGTCGTAGTTAGTTCTCACAGCCTTGTGTCTTTGTCTTCCTTCCTTCCTGCCTTTGAGTATCACATGTTTTCTAACAATATTTTTGCACTGATGATTAAAACCGGAGCGTTTCAGTGCTCAAACTGTGAGTCACCTTGAAGGAAAGAATGACTTTATACTTCCAGAAATAGGTTTCCCCCAAAATATCTCCTTCCACAGACGGGTTTCAAAGGCTGTTAGATGCACAGGTGCTTTCTTTGATGCACACTGAGGTTCTGCACAAAAAAACACAATTACTGTATATTATCCTCCCCTTCCTCTGTCAAACTCCATGTAGTAAACATCTGTATCCAGCTGGGTTCAGGTGATGGCCACTAGATGCTCAATCCAAGAATCTAAGAAGTCCATATACTGGAAAAGGCTCTGACTTCCTTCATAAAATACAAAATAGAGCGTGATTTCACTTGACTTTTAACTTCTCAACTGGCGGCCTGTGAATCCCATTTCATTTGTAACTTCCTGAAGCGAACTTTTAAAGCTCATTGTGGAGCCTGCGTTTACTTTATGATCCTCAAAGGCCTCCTTGCTCCTGTGCAGACCCCTTTGTCCACTTTGGAATAATAATGAATCCCATCTTTTAAACGTGCCTTTTTGAAGTCTTGCATAGAGTTTTCCTGTTGCATTACAAGCTTATGTTCTTGCTTCATGCTTTTATTGGTTGTACTGGTTTTATTTGTCTCCTAATCTTTTAGAGAGGAGGAGGGGGGGTTAAGTCAATTCTTCTGGGTTTTTCTCTTCCTTCCTTATCTGGCTGTCCTCTAAAGCGGCTTAACATTTCTTTCAAAGTGCACAACATAAGATAACTGATATAAAGTTGAAATAGAGGTGCCTGCAGTCCTGTTAATTTTCCTCAGTAACCCCACTAAAAAACACTACATGATTTGTTTTGGGGAGTGATCGTAAAGTAACGTTGACCATGATGAAGACCATGGTCAGAAAACTTTCCTTTATTCCTTACTAACTCCAACATCAAAGGACAAACTTCCCCCCTCCCGTCCTTAATCCCCTTTTTGCCCTCATCAGGGGCAGAGCGGGTCATCTCGCTGAAGATGGAGATCCCAGGTTCGATGCCGCCGCTCATCCAGGAGATGCTGGAGAACTCGGAGGGCCAAGACGGCCAGAGCAGCAGCAGCAGCAGCAGCAGCAGCAGCACCTCGGCCGAGGCGGGGGCCAGCCCCGGCAGTAAGGGCGGAGCCAGCCCCGGCAGTAAGGGCGGAGCCAGCCCCGGCAGTAAGGGCGGAGCCAGCCCCAGCAGTAAGGGCGGAGCCAGCCCCGGCAGTAAGGGCGGAGCCAGCCCCGGCAGTAAGGGCGGACCCAGGCCTGGCAGTAAGGGCCGAGCCAGCCCCAGCAGTAAGAGCGGAGCCAGCCCTAGCAGAAAGGGTGGGGCCAGCCCCAGCAGTAAGGGCGGAGCCAGCCCCAGCAGCGGAAAGGGCGGGGCCAGCCCCTGCAGTAAGGGAAGCCCCAACGAGGACGCCGCTGCCGCCGAGTCGCCGCAGCCGCAGGACGCCGAGGAGGCCTCGGCCAGCGACCTGCCCTAAGACGCTCTCTCTGACAGTCCTTTGCGAAGGCAGGGCCTCCCCCCCCCCCCGCAAAACCCCTCCACCACCCAGACTCCTTCGCTCGGTATTACGTTACATCATCGCCCTATTTCTTGTTTCTCCTTTAAAAAAAAAAAAAAGAAAAGAAAAGTTCAACACGGAGGCCTCAAAGGATTCGCGTGTATAATTGAGAATTGAGGTCTCACTTGGCGTGGCGTCTCTGTGACTGGGGGGGGCCCCGTGACCAGAGATGATACTCCTCAGGTCTCCTGTGTAAATTATTATCTGCATGACGGGAGTTTGATGAGTGGTGTTACTCCCCTCTCTCTCTCTCTCTCTCTCTCTCTCTTGATCTGTCCTCATCTCTTCTCCCGTGCTGTCGGCATACGTACATTGTACATACCATTGTATGGTTAGATCTCTGTTTCTATGATGAATTTTGTGGTGCTTTTTTCATTGTCTTAAATATTACCTTTGAGGAGACCCATCGAGGTTCAAAGCCGGACCGATTGTAAGTCCTTCAAGCAGTTATCTAGAATGTTGTTGCATATAGACGTCATGGAGGTCTAATATTTTATATTCGTTCTGTGTCTTTTATAAACACTTCATGTCTCCACATGAATGCGTGTGCATCCACAACCGCCAGAATGCGAAGCTTCTCTCCATATCGTCTGTTCGAGTGTTTCCTCAGGAGGAGGGAAGCACGAGAAGCAGAAGCCTTCGACACGCACTCATCAGGCCGAGTCGCGTCTCGACATGAATCACAGAGAGCCGACGAGCGAGATTAGATTCGTCTAGGAAATCAACTCATCTGGTGGCTGTATCTCCTCACTAAATCAGTTTACCTCACTGTCAAAACAAATTGGGGAAAACGAGGTCGCTGATTGATGCCAGAGATTTCTTCTTCTTCTTCTTCTTCTTCTGCTTTTTTTTTATCTGAAGCAGGCCGTGATCACAAGGGACGCTTTAAAAAAATAAATCAATTTTGTGTAAACTTAAACTTCATGATCAGCTGGTCAGTTGGGGGTTTTTATCGATTTTTTCAAGCCAATGTTGTGCGACGATTTTGGTTTGGTGGTTTTTAAACCACAGGTCACCGAGTCTGATGAGGAACATGATTGGCTTCGCATTAATCTGCTTATTTGTTCATCTAATTTCCTCCAACATTGATTTAATCGTTGTGGAAAAAAAATACAAAAAAGGCTCTGATGACCAAGGAAACTAATTTAACAGAGAATGCAAATTAACGACAGTTAAACTGAGATGAAAATGAATTGTCTCCACAAACTCAGAGTGGCGCGTTGGCCTCCTTCAAATAATTTGTTTAAATAAACAACCAGGCTTATTTGCATACATGTACAAAGCAGATCGGTCTGATCACGGCCTGCTAATTTCTTTTTTCATTTCTTTTAAGTGGCCTGACTGTCCACCTAATGAGTGTGTATCTACCGCCAACAGCGCTCCACCGACGCACACGCGCTCTGTGACGGCCTTACGAGCAGAGCTCCTCGACCCGCTTTCCTCTCCCCTTTCAGAAGTGTCTTGTCAGAACCGGCGAAACACGAGGGCGATGCAATCCTTAAAAAACACACAGATGACCGGGCCGCGTGGGTCGGGACGATTGTACACTGACGTAGAAAGCACACAGCCCGAGCCTTCGCCTTGCTCTCTCAGACTGGACGCTGTCAGCTATGGAGAGATTCTTGACCCCTCAGCTCCTCCTCCTGCTCCTCCTCCTCCTCCTGCTCCTCCTCTTCCTGCTCTTCCTCCTCCTGCTCCTCCCGGAGCCCTCGGACCGCCGGCTGAACAACGGTCGCTCACCCGCGTTATCGCACCACAGCAAAACAATGTCGCTGCGCCACTCAAACTGACCCCAAATGAGAAGCAGCTCCCACCCCCCCTCACTAACAAGGCCAAAGTTCAGCCTCTGAGGGATTAAGCACGATAAGAATATTAATCTGAAATGATGCAGGACGTGCAGACTGGAGGTTGACCAGCAGCTCACAGCGGAAATGGCTTCATCTGAATTGGAAAGTGGCGTGAAAGTCATTTCAAGCCAGCGTGCCGTGTTTTGAATACGACTGGACGGGATTCGATCTGTGACGCTTCAGTGCAAACGACCTCAGAGGATTCGATTGATTGATTGGGTCGGACATTCCTCCCTGTCCATTGGGTCGTGAATGAAATTGAATCATTTAAATTAGTTATTTATTATTATTCCGGCACGGTTTGTACTTTGAGTCAGAGTCCACAGTTGTCTCTGCACCCTGTAACCCTGTTCCGTGATGGGGACCCTGTTCCGTCAGGGTCGTAGGAGGTGAGGGGCGTTTGGAGGATTTGGAGTGAATTTGTTGTGATTGACACATTATTGTCAAATTCAAGCCCCGGCACAAACGTCATCCCATTGATCTTCAACGCCTCCCGACATCTTCAGTAGTAAAATACTGCTGCAGTGACCACGACGAGTCATTCGGCTTCGCGTACTTGAAGCCGGATCCCCTGCAGGGCGGCGAAGGGTTCTGGGTCTCTGCCGCACACAACAACAACAACAACAACAACAACAACAACAACCCATCTGCATTCCGTCCCCGCTAAGAAATACATATCATAAGGGAAACCACAGCTGGCTTTTATTGTTTTAACGTGTTTGAATGTGAATAACGTCATGGAGTCTGATATGCAGTGTTAAGGAAAACTCACTTCTATCTCAGTGTAACATAGGAAACGCTCTCCCTCGGCCCCCTCTCCGTCCTGCTCTCCTGGTGAGAGACGAAGGGACGCGTCTCGGGGGCGTCTTTTTTTCTTTTTCTTTTTTTTAAAGCTGGAAAACGTTCACAGCCGAAGAATGTTCACGTCCGCACGACGGGACACTCGGGCGCCCGCCGGGGGCCCGCTGTCCGGCCCTCAACTTCACGATGCAGAATTTCTCCTGTTGGTTTCTGTTGAATGTCGTACCGACGGTAACTGTAATACTCTACTATCTAGCTCACTGCAGAGATGTTATATAAATGGCGTGTGCTTTGCATTCCAACTGGCAGCTCCGTGGAAACGACGCTCTCTTGTGTCCTTGGGAACATCCACTCACAGGAAGGAGGAGGAGCTCGGTTGGGTGGGTTACGTAATTTGGGACGGCGAGTCGGAGGAGAAACGGACGACTAAGTCACCTCAGCAGACGACATCGTCAGTGCGTTCTCTTCCTGTTTCCATGTCGCGCAACAGAGCCGCCCCCCTTTCCTGGGCCAGGGAGCCAATCAGCTGTCGTCAATCAATCAAACCCAATCAGTCGACAGTTAGTTTGGTAAACGGGTCAACTAACCAACTAGGGTTGCACCAATGTGGGGTTTTTAACATTCTAAGGAGCGAACAAGCTGATTTGTAATAGATTTTAAATAGTCTGATATCAGCCCGGGTGAGAGCAGCCAAAGCCTTGCAGTTTTAAGGGTTTTGAGAGAATTCTACACCCAAATACAAAAACTGAATTTGAGTTGACGCTTTGTTGGCAGAGCGGGAAAAGTGGTAAAACCCCCCCCTTGGATTCTGCCTGGGAATCGTTAATGCGTTATTACAACACCTTTCATAAGGTCTCTGCAGGTTGTTGTTAAACCTTTATGTGCAGAACGGATTATTGGAAACTCATGCCACTTATCGGTCTAACCCTGGATACGACCTAAGGAGCATGAACCTCAGCGTCGGGCGGCTCTGTTGCCCCCCCCCCGTAAGTGTCCGAGAACCTTCACCTCCAGATCATAATGCAGTCTTGTATATTCGTGTTGGAACGAGACATGAAGGTCACGTGTGACTGGGCATGAGGGTGGATGGGGGTTGTTGCCCCGTCACCCCCCCCCGTCCCCCCACCGGCGTCCCACAGGATGAAAGACGCTCTGCGAGTTTAAGTCGGTTTCAGCTCTCCATTTTGAATATTGTCTCTGTACATTAACATATGCTTTTTATGTTCATATACTGTTAAACTTTACCATGAACTGTCTTGGCAAAGTAATAAAATATATTTATTTTAAAACGCTTGTGTTATGAATGATGTACGGTGAATGTGGTATTCATTGCAGGAAGGTGCCAACTCATCTGTTCTCAACCGCTTTCAGATGCGCCGTTTGAAATCAAGCTAGAATCCTGAAGCCCGAGTAGTGGTTCAACCCAATGGTGGAAATGCACTTGTTGTAAGTCGCTTTGGGTTAAAGCATCAGCTAAATGACATGTGATGTAATGTGGTGGCCGCTGAGTGCCAAATTGATCAGCCATTTCTTTTTAGCCAGTAGTAGAGCTTTAAATACACTCAGCCCTGGAGGTGATCAAGGTAATTCCATTAAGTACAAAAGCATGTATTTACTGGGGGAGCATGAATGTGTACAGAGCGTTTTCGTATCCGCTCATAAGCTCAGCGTGTGTGTGACGGCATTCTTTATGCCTTTATGAAAGAATCAGGAAAGCAGAACCCTGCTGATATTTCATTGTTTACTTTCAACTTCATGTTCAAAAAGTTACATAGTATTTTAACAGTTAAAATGTGCTCAAGCACCGCGTTCTAAACTCCTAAAAGCCGCTTCGGACAAATACAGAACATTTCAATGAGCGATAAAAAAAGAAAGCCGTATATGTATAATAAAGTGTAAAACACATACACGTTAAAAAAAAGTCATTAAACATCACCATTAATGAAAATAAAGTGAAAAGAAGAAATGTACAAAAGTCTGTGGGAACACGGGGGGGGGCGGAGTGTGTGTGTGTGTGTAAAGCTTCAGTTGAACATGTCGTCGAAGTCGTCCTCCTCCCCGTTGTCCGACTCGACGAAGTACTTCACCTCCTTCTTGGCCCGGCCCGGCCGGTCGCGGGACGCCGCGCCCGTCGCGCCGGGGCCGTTGCTGTCGTTGTCCTCGTCATCTGAGGGGGGCTTCTGAGGTTTCTGCATAGGAAGGGAAGGGGGGGGGGGGGAGGGTAACAAAACACTTTGTTAATATGAACTGCACAAGTAAAGTTCATGAATATTTTTTAGTAGTAGCCAACCAACACAGTTTGGTTAAAAGCCTCGTATATGATATAGTGTTGGCTTTCTCTATATAACCTTTTAATGCAAAATAATCATCGGAAGAACAAGAAACTAAAGCTGCCGAATTAATGTATTTGTAAAAAAAAGCTACATTGTAAAGAGTACAATATAAATACGTTTGGATTTAAAATCAATCGGCCTCAAACACAACATGTTGTTGATCCCGGCAGCTTAAATAATTTGCATGACAAACACAAACATTGCATCTAGTGAACTAAAGTCGCATCGATACTCACTCTGCCGACAGGTTTCACCGCTTTTTTCATTGGACTGTACTCATCTTCGGAGCCTGAGCCCTTCCTCTTCCTCCCTCTGCCTTTACCTGCAGGTACACAGAGAGGGACCAAAAACACTCACCATCGGCATTGAAAAGCGCCTTCTCGTATTCCTGTGAGGAAACGCGGGATGTGTGCTGTACCTTTGAGAGCCGGTGCTGGTGCTGGCTTCTTGGAGCCCGTGTCGGAGTCAGAGTCCCAGATGGATTTATCAGGTTTCTTTGCTTTTGGTGCCGGTGGCTTCTTAGGCTTGGCAGCTGCTTCGGACGGCTTCTTGGCTGCTGCTGATCACAGATTTAAAAAAAAACAAAAAAAAACAACGTCACACACCGCTAAACGCACGGAGCGGTCATCTGCAGTGCCCTCCGGTGGACGCGGCGGGTCATCACCTTTCTTTGCCTGCGACAGCTTGTCGACGGCGGAGCTGCTGGAGTAGGTTGAGAAGCCTCGGCCGACGCCGTCGTCGCTGTCAGACTTGGACCCGTCTACGAGACAAACACATGCTGCTCATTCCGTGCGGGTCACTGACCTTTGGTAAAAGTTCTTCTGCTGCGCTTATGCTGCTGCTTTTACGAAAGACTGAGAACAAGATCTAACCGACCGGGAGCCCAAATGTCTTTTTAATCTCATTGATTGCAGCACAGCTTCGGGTATTACGCTTTCTATGTTTTTCTAAAATGTCAAAGATTAGTGAAATTGTCATAATTAGCATATAAATAAATGTGTTGCCAAAAAAACACACATTGACCTTTGACCACCAAATGGTATGCAGGTAATCCTGTGAATCAAGGCTGTCTTAGATCAGCGGTTCTTGTCTGGTAGCATTGTGGTAGCTCCTAGCATCAGTGCACATTAGTCCTAAAGTACATTGAGTGGTCTGGACAGGAACAATCCATTTACCATATAAAAAAGGATCAAAAACAATCACCAAAGTCTGCATTGCGTAACCGCTGAGGGGTTTACTGCACACCGACGCTGAGCTGATACTCACCACTGTCGTTGCTTTTTTCAGAGAAGGCCGACTTGGACGAGAAGATGCTGGTCGTCTCCTTCTTTTTAGCTGCAGGTGCAGCGGACCTTCAGAGAAGCACAAACAGTGTACTCAGCATATTCGCTCCTAGATACTTTTTGGGGCCTTCACACCGTCTCAACAGGGACAGCTGACAGGAAACGAGTGGACAAACATGCAAACAAAGGGATCTGATGTGTGAGAATCGCCTCCGACCCCAAACAGCAGGCGAGCTCCCGGGCCGCGGTTCAATCTTACGTGGTCTTTTGTTGGGGAGCCGAGTAGGAGTCCTCGTTATCTTCGTCGTCTTCGTCCTCCTTGTGGTCGCTGTGCCGCTCCTTGGTCTCGGAGGAGGCGGGAAAGTCGTCTTTAGACGACCTCATCGGGGAAGAAGCCCCGTCGTCGCCGCCGCCGTTCTCCTCTCCCTCAGCATCCTCCTCCTCCTCCTCCTCTTCCTCCTCCGAGAAGTCGAACGTGTATTTCGGCTTGGAGGCTGAGAGACGGGAGCAGAGTCTGTGTCACGGCTTGAATAATTACCGGGTGTTGCGGCTGCGTTGCATCAGAGCCGTCTGACGCTCGGAGCAGACGGACGCTAATGACACTGACGAAACGTACAACCAAAGTTATTTTGGATAAAAATGAAACGCTAGCAGTCAACGCTGAAGGTAAAAGAATCAAAGACTTATTTAAAGAGAAACAAGTAATAAGAAAGACAAGAGGGGGGGATAATGGGGGAAGTGTATTAAAATTCTTTGAAGATTCTGTTCTACTTGATGGATTCATTTTGTGATGATTCATTCACTGTAAGTTATTTATATATTTGTGTATTTGTTGGCAAAGGGGAGAAAAAGAAAAATATCACCTGACTTTAAAGATACTACTATTATTTTACTACAGAGAGCCATGATGAAAGGATAGTGGTTCTAGCGTCTGCACTGAATACTCAAACTACACCTAAAAGGCCGTTGGCTTCGTTTACCTGACGCCCTCTGGGACTTGGTCTCTCTAGGGATGACGGGCTGGATATCCTCCGCGTCGCTGTCGGACTTGGACTCGTCCTCGGACCAGGGGTTTCTCTTTTTGGCCTTCTTAACGGGGGTACCTTTGGGTGCCGGGGGTTTTCTCACTCTGGGAGCACCTGCAGCACAGAAAACAAGGTCAGAAGAGCTCCTGCTTGTTCAATAATAGATTTCAGTTTTCTCACAGAGCTGTGAAGCGTCAAGGAGCCCCGAGGAGGTTTCTACCTTCAATACCAAACCGACACAGTAAACTAGGAGACAACCCGGCTTATTGTCCCTGGCTAGATGCAGTTCACAAATATGTGTCTGAGCTGAGGAATCATTTATTTAATGCTACAAACACCCCCTCCTCCTCAGTCTGCAGTAACCGCCGTCTAAAAACAACATTTGAACATTTAAGAAAGGACAAAACAGATTTGGTGGATTTTCAGGTATTTGGTGGAGCCGCTGAAGTTCAGTACTGACCGGGTTCTTTCTTCTCTTTCTTGACACGTGGAGCTTTTGGTTTGGCCGCAGCGCTTTCTCCTGTTGCTCCCTCGACGGGCAAACCTTCCTCGTCGAACTCCAACTTCACGCCGGGATCTACGTCACTCTGAGGGAGGAGAAAAAAGACCCCGTAAACCATCCCGGACTCCCGGTGTCACTCTTCTACTTGGGGCATTGCGTCGGCGGTCCTTACCTTCTTCTTTCGGGACAGTTTCTTGGCCGCGTCGGATCTGATTGCCAGAGTCGGAGGCTCCACCCTGCGGCCAAACGGCGAGGGCATTGTCTCCTCCAGGTTCAGCTTCTTCGCTTTGGGTTTGCCCACCTTCCCCTTCACCAGTTTGACGGCCTTTCCTAAACTCTGCTCCTCCCGCTCCTGGAGCTCCACTTTCTGGCCGACGGAACACAGCGAGTCTCCGGTTACGTAACTTTCTACATTCAGATGGAAGCTGGCCTGAGATAAAGGCACGTAATGATCAGAGCGCTATACGAGAACTTACATCCAGCTCCTCGATGAACACTGCCAAGTCCTCCTTCCACAGATCCTCTGGTTGTTTCTTCTGGAGATCATTCAGCTCCGCTCTCTGCACATCAGCACATATTCACTTTGTTAACCAGCACTTCATCCACAACATTACTACACAGCATGATCTTTGGTCTTTGGTCCATGTGTCTATTTCTCAGAGGTGTGCCTCATTTATTTGCTTCATACGTGTTGTTTTATGAGCCTCTGTGTTGCGTGTTGGCAAACGCAACACATAATAACTCAAATACACCATTAAAAAGAGCAAGACACTGAACACAGTTAAGAGCTTGGAGGAATAAATACAATGAATGAAATCAATGATTAAGGATACCTTGTGGTCCCTCTGTTTGAGCAGGTCGTCCACCTTCTCTTTACTCAGGCACCACAGAGGCATGTTGAGGATGTAGTTGAAGTTTGGCCCCGACGAGGAGCCCGAGTCCACCGAGCCGTCGCTCTCGTTTCCGTCACGGTAATCTTCCTCCTGGGCCTGTCGGAGAAAAACAAAGGCAAAATCCTGTCATGCAGCAGTAAATTCTGCTTCTTCAGCCTTCTGCTGTGATTAATGTGTATTTACTGGCGTGGAGTTTAAGAAAAGCTCCCTCTTGTGTTGAGATGGCAAAATGAATTATACGACTTCATTACTCGCGCTGTTGTTGAGTGATGTTTATGTTACAGTCCAGTTAAAGCCACTGGTACCTTTTCCTGAGACTTGGACCAGGCTATGACTGGATCGGACTCAAAGCCTTTCTGGACGAGCATGCGGATCAGTTCACGTTTGGTTTTGTTCTCTGGGAGGATTAAAGAGAATACAGGTTATAACCAGGCAGCCCATGTGGAAGGGCCATACACTAAAAACAGGTCTGACTGTATAGAAGACTCACCTGGTTCGTTACCTTGTAACCATTTAACTATGATCTTAAAAGATAGTTGATTTCAAATCGGCATCCTTACCGATTGATATTTTTCCCTCGATCTTCTCCAGGACAAAGCGAGCCTGGTTGCTCAGTTTGGCCGCCTCGGATCCCAGGCTGCCCAGTAACCAGTCCTTCCTCAGCTTGTAGTAGGTCAGGCGGAGCTCGTAGAACTCCCTGAGGATGTCTTGGACTGAATCGTACCTCTTGAGACAGCCCATGTGGTCAAACAGCACCTGAGGAATTAAGGGGTTGAAATCTGTTAAGGACAATTTTATTAAACGAACGATTTCCAAAAAGGAAACACCAGGGAGGCCAAAGCCATCTATTAAATCAAAAAGATGTCAGTTCACCATGGAGTTGCAGGTGAGGCTGGACTGCAGCTTGAAGACTTTGTGGAGGCCGACTGCTTCGGCTTGGGCCAGTTTCTCCTCAGACAAGCGAACCACAAACTTGACCGTTGTGTCCGTGTGATATTCCTTGTAGTCGTAGATGAGAGCTGGCGTTTTGTCATTTCCCTGCAGCATGGGCTCCAGCACAGACTCCTTATACGCCTGCACACCAGGAAAGAAACAGAGTCATACACAGATTAAGCCCCGTTATTTTTGTCGTTAAATGTTCTAGTTCTACGTACAAACACCAGTTCACTTTTATCTTGAGTAAAAAAAAAGAAATATTTATCATTTATAAGTTATCCCTGAGCAAATAAGCGTGATAGTACCTGTGTCCAAGTCCGAACGGGAAGCTCTGTGATCTCAATGGTGTTTCTGTCAATGACCAACACCTCTCCACTGACCAGGTACTGGTTCTGACCCAGTTCGTGAATCACCCCTTTGAAGTTTTTGTACCTGGGAAGCTGTGGGGAACAGAAATGACACAGGAACATTAGGTCTAATGTTTCACACAAACATAAGACGTACTCTCCTCTCGGGAGCCGCACGACGAGCAACAAGCCGAGAGGTTCACCAGGAATCTGTAAAGTGCAGCTGATCCGAGTCGCTGAGGCAATGTGGTCACGTCTGCAAGAGCGTTTCCTTTTGTTTATCTCAACAATGTGATTTAAGAACAGACTACTCCAGGACACTACACACGCTGGCTCTCATTATAAGTGTTCATATCAGCAGCGACGCTCGTTTGGGAGAGTTGAAACGGTTCGGAGTTCATATCAACTATAGTTAGAATAAATACCTGTAACATCGAACTTAAGGGCCTAACGCAGCAGTGGATAACCGGAAGCTCCCGAGTCACCAGAGGAACCCGTTAACCACTTTTATTGCTAATGTTTAAAGATTTAAACAAAGGACGGCGGCCTTCATGCACCGTGCTCTCATATTTAATCATAATTATTTTTGCTGCATCTATATGCATGCGACACAAGTAGTAAAAATACAGATCCGCTGGCGGTTTACTTTCTGATGTGGTCTCATTGTCAAACTCAGTAAACAGAAAACAAACTGGCGACCACGGGCTCAGCGGGCTTACCATCGGCAGCGGATCCTGGTGGTTGAGCAGCCGGTTGATGTTGTTGACGATCTCTCGCGGGTCGTAGTTGGGGATCTTACACGCCCAGCCCGTTCCGATGCCCTCGGCTCCGTTGACCAGCACCATGGGGATGATGGGAATGTACCACTCCGGCTCCACCTTCTGGTTGTCATCGTACAGGAACTTGAGCAGGTTGGAGTCCCCAGACGGGAACAACAGCTTGGCGAGTGGACTGCGGGAAAAGAGAACGTAAACATGACGGCGCGCTCAACTGACGACGGAATGGCGCTATTGTGTTCGTTGTTGCGTCACCTGAGCATGGTGAAGATGTAACGGGGGCTGGCGGCGTCTTTGCCTCCGTTGATGCGAGTACCGAACTGACCGAGCGGCTGCAGGATGTTCACGTTGTTACTGCCCACAAAGTTCTGGGCCAAGTTCACGATGGTCATCATGAGAGCTTGCTACAGGGACCGATGGGAAACAGGTACAAGTATCATATAGTAAAATGTATATGTGTTACGCAGAAGCTCAGATCATTTAAAAAAAATACATACAATACACAGTAATGGAGGATAATTTCAAAATGTACAGCCAACATCTGCTGTTATAACGACCCTAAACATCTGGTGGACGGTACCTCTCCGTGATGGTAGGCGGACATCTCTGCAACCGAGCCGGCCAGCTGTGCTACTTTCACTTCCCTCTTGTCGTTCCTCTTCAAGCAGGTGAACAGCACCTTCCTCTGGCCGGGCTTTAAACCTGCCAACACAAACCACCAATACGTGAACCCTCCACACAAAGACGGGACAGGGAGTGACGGTTTCAGCCTGAATAACGGCACGGTCCAAGAAGAGGAGCACCCGTCCTTCACGGCTCACAGAGATGTGGTGAACGTACGAACCGTCAACCAAGGACGGGATGGATCTCTCGTTGTCAGAGTTGGAGAAGAGAATCAGCTCTTTGTTGATGAAGTCATTGTAGGAGAGGTGCCTGGCCTGAGTTCCATACAGGTATTGCTGAGAAAAGGAATAGTTGAAAAATACTTTTAATACGCACACTCCACTCAGAGGTATGCTGGTATATCCGAGTGCTTGAAGAGAAGATGTAGTGCAGGAATTAGCCTTCAGGACGCTTCCCAAACATCTATCGATACATTTCCAATTAAAACCGATAACATAAATGATCCACCGTCACACCACAAGGTTTGTGAAGCCACAAACCAGACATCATGACACACACACACACACACACACACATTGCTGCCTACACACTGTTGGGCAAAAACACAAACCTCTGGTAGGCCGTGCATCCTCCTCTGGCGTCTGTCCTCCATGAAGTTCGTCAGCCACTCTTTCCTGTCATCCGTCTTCTTCTTGCTGAAGGCCTGGAGCCAAACGCAGCAGGTCAGCCTCCATTTCACACTTACTTCAAGTTATTTTTAAACGACGGCTGACGTTCCTGCACTAATAAGACTGCGCCGTCTCGGACCGTATCTAGAGAACAGAGCGTGGCTTCTCACTGACCAGTGTGATGGCAGCGTCGTCCTCGGCCCCGCTGTACCTGAAGGAAATGCGGTGCTTCTCCATGTCGGCAAAGTATTCCTTTGCCTCTTTGCTTGTACTCGTTCCCAAACCTGGAGCACAAATGGGACATTTGCTGTTCAAAGAACCAAAGTCGCTCTAGTTTTTATACCAATGTTCATCTGAAAAGTTTAGATTGATGTAATCAATACTTTAGAATCAAACCTTTGTAGTACTTTATATGCCAGGTTTTAAAGTTCTCTGTGTTTTTCTTCCACTCATCAAACTCTGGAATGCTGTAGAAGGCCGACTCCTGCTTGTTCTTGGTTACCTGCAGACAACAATGAATCAGTGAGGTCCCGCTTTACTGCGGCTTTGATGGATAGATGGTCATAATAGTAATCTGTGTTGCTCCTGCAGTAATGTACACAGTATGTGTGTGTGTGGCTCGCTTACTTTGACAATGGGTGTGATGAACTCCTCCAGGAATGTGTGTTTCAGTAGAGACGGCCAGTTGTGGTGGAAGAAGTTGATGAGCAGACCTTTGATATGCGAGCCGTCTTGATCCTGGGGCAAGACGGGAAACGTTAGAACTACTGGTTTAGCGGCTGGGAGTGACAGCGGGCGGCGTGTAAGTGCTCCTGAGCCAAGTCACCTGATCAGTCATGATCATGATCTTGCCGTAGCGCAGGCTCTTTAGTGACTCGGGGTCTTCATAGCTCTTCTTGTACTGGAGGCCCACGATTTTGATGATGTTGTTGATCTCAGCATTTTCCATGATCTGTTGAAAGAATGAAGCTAATTTCAGCTGCGAGGTATTTGACAATTATGCTTCATTCAGCCCGATTTTCAGATCAATTTTGAAAAGCAGCAATTTTCCAAGTGCAAATGTGACATTACATATTTGACAGCACAAATAAATGACCAGACGTGGTATCTAAAAGAATATTGATAAAGAATACATGAGGATCCGGCGCACGGCCAGGCTTTCTCATCAGCCGGTACTCAAATAAACCAGAACACCAAACACATCTTCTCACAATCATCCAGCGTCGTACCTGCTTGTGCGTCGCCTCTCGCACGTTAAGGATCTTCCCCCTCAGAGGAAACACGCCGTAGCGATCGCGCCCGATGACTCCCAGCCCAGAGACGGCCAGCGACTTGGCCGAGTCCCCCTCGGTGAGGATGAGTGTGCATTCACCCGAGTGTTTGCCACCTACGACACGGGCGTGGAAGCGGTTAGTTGATCTACTTGCTGTGCATCACTGTGTAATTCCTTAATAAGCCACCGCGCTGCTAACACACCGGCGTCGTTGGCGTCGTCCAGCTTGGGGATGCCTTTGATCTTGCTGTACTTCACAGATGAGCACTTCTTGTTGAGCTGTGTCTGAGCTTTGAACTTCACCCAGTTGAGTATACTCTCAACGATCCCGCAGTTGGTTGCCTGCGGGAGACAGAGACACAAAAGTTGTTGTCATCACTGGCGCCGACCAGGTTGGTTTTGGAGGTGGCAGCGAATGGGAAGTGTCCTCACTCCTCTGATGAACTTGTCCGAGAGAGGGCACTTGGACCCGAAGCTCTTGGTCTGGAGTGTCATGTTCTCCTTGGTCTGGGAGTCAAATGTGGGGTTCTCGATCAGTGCGTTCACAAACACCCAGATGTGGTTCTTCACCTGAAGCACAAAGGAGAGGAGGTTTGATTTATTTTTAAAACACAGTCGCTTTGAGTTAAAAAAAGAGAAAATGTCTCCCTCATTCGCCTACCTGGAAGGGTTTGACTGTCACTCCGGCCTTGTTCTTCTTCTTCACCACTTCAATGAGTTTGGCCACTATCTGGTCCACCACATAGTCAACATGTCTGCCTCCCTGAAACATACACGCCCTCCGTGTTAGAAAGCGCACTTGTCTCTGCCCCCCCCCCCCCTCCCATGTGACCGTCTAGCAGTCTCTCTCCGGTGGTTTTCAGACACCTTGGTCGTGGCGATGCTGTTGACGAAGCCGATCTGCTGGAACCCCTTCTCGCTCAGCGTGAGGCAAACCTCCCAGCGGTCGTTCACGGTCTCGTTCACCACCTTCAGGACGACGCCCATCTCGTCCAGCTTGTCCTTCACGTACAGATCCACGTAGCTGCGGAACCCCGTCACCTTTAGTGACAGAAAAGAGAGAGCAAGTTAGGTTTAATAGGTTGATTGAAAAATAATCCGTAATGAGGTGGAGAAAACTTACAGGTAATTTCTTCCCGTTCAGCGTGACTTTGACCCCCCTGCAGGAACCAGCGACATCGTATGCTCTGCGAGTAAGAAGCGCTACAGTGTCCTTGTCCAGCTTCTCCATCTGGAACTTCGAGAGGTCCGGCTGGAAGGTCACGCAGGTGAAATCATCCCCATCAAAGAACTTGATCTTGGGCTCAGACGTCTTGCTCATGTTGTTCTGCCACGTCTGAGGACGATTAAAAAGCAAACGTTGGAATACAGAAACACTCACCGGGCTTTCCAATTTCCACATCATTGTTGTTATCTTCTTACGTCCCTTTACTCCACCTTCACTGCATCGAGTGCAGTTAGTTCCAAACAACTGTGATGTCACCCGGTGATTTACAAATGTACCCATAAAACCCTAAAGGACTTAACCACGACGAGTGATGACATACACCCCCTTACCTCAGGTATGATCACGTGTCAAAACCCTAAAAAACAGCAATTACTTCACTCAATTATCACATAAAATCTGCGGGAAATCAGATTACCGCCAACTAGTCTGATTAAAGAACAAAACAACGGTCATAATTTCTTTGGTGTTTTCACTGTACAAAGCAATCAAAGCACATCAGAGGCATCCACACCTGCTTGAAACTGTGTCTGTACTCCTTGCAGGCGGTTTCCACTGTGAACTTGGTGCTGAAGATGTTGCAGAGTTTGGCGCCGTAGCCGTTCCTTCCACCTGCGGCCAAACAGACGGTCCGCAGTTAGAAATATTCACCGTCCCGGACGGTCTCCAGCAACCACCTTTTAAGACGCAAAGATGCCTCCGCTCACCCGTGACCTTTTTCTCGTCATCGTCGTAGTTGCTCGAGGTGAGCAGGTGGCCGAAAATGAGAGCCGGCACGTACATCTTCTCGTCCTTGTGCTCCACCACAGGGATTCCTTTGCCGTTGTTCCAGATAGAAATGGTGTTGGACTCTCTGGTGGCGGATGAGTTACGGCGAGAACATGAATAGAACGTAGACGCGGTCAATCTGAAACATCAAGCTCTCCAGAGGGGAACTGAAAACATGGCGTCAAATATCATTTATATTATATGCGGTTGGATTCTTATTGAGGTTTAAAAAAAATAATTGTGAATAGTGTATATTCTGCTACACTATTAACGTCCTCCCTGTCACATGGTTAAAAGCAAGAATAAATCACTCCTAACAATCATTAACATTCTCGCTCCCTCTGCTAGAAGCCGGCTCAAACGGCCCCACGTCAGGTCACATGAATGACACAGGAGCCATTTTGCATCCAGCACACGCGTTACAATGAGAGCCGGTGTGTAACTGGGCTTCCTGGGAATTCTGGCTCGACGGCAGATGTGCCGCGGTGACTCTAACTGACGCCAGCGGTGCTTCATAATAAGCTCGGCCACAAACCGGCGCGGGAAGCAGTGGTGGGGAGCAGCGGCATCTCCACGAAACCACATTAGCAGCCGAGTCATGAGTGCGGCGGGGCTAATGGTATCATTTATACGGCGGGGGGTGGAGAAGGGGGGGGGGGGGGGAGCAACAGCACCTCGGCTGAAGGACGCATCGGATGCTGATGCAGTCGGCGGGCTGAAGGTGAAGCCGATATGAAACAAGAGCTCAGTGCTTTTCAGCACCGGCTCATTATGCTCAAACCTCATCCGTCTGTCGGCTGTTTCCCCCCCGAGCCTCCAAAAGGAAGAACGTGAAGCCGGGGACGGACTTATTGCCGTCGCAACTTACAGAAAACCAAAAATCCCAAAAGAAATCGGCGATGTAATGAGCTCATGCTCGCCGTGGATACGTCTCCATGAGATTGTTTAGAGGAGCTGCCCGTGGCGGAGAAAAGAACATGTCCAGCTGATCCAAGTGTACACGGTTTACTCCTGAATACTCAGCGTTAATTGTATTTTTAAATGTTTGCACTCACGGATCAATGGTGATCTTTATTGCGTTCATGTTCTTGTCTCTTTGTTTGTTGTCTGCCGCGTTGACTGTCGGGAAAAACAAAAATGTTACACACACACACACACACACACACACACACACATATTCAACACGATGCTTTCAGAAAATATGTTTACTTCTGCAGCTAATTACTATTTTCATCATCATCGTGTAATCTGTCAGCAAATCAGTAGTTGCAGCTCTAGTGGGCGGATGAAGAGCTCGTCCAAACATCTGGCTAGTTGTGTGTGTGTATATATACACACATCTAAACTTGTATTTTTGTTATATCCACTTCCGTTCAGGGCCTTGTCTTTGTACTCAGGACACGGAGGTAATATTCAGACAAGGAAACAGTGTTTAGTCCAACATCTTTGTGTCAACCACATAAAAACAACTATTAAAAAGACTAAAAGGAAAAAGTAACGGAGCCGATTCACTCACCAAGAATTTCATCAAAGATTTTGTACAGTCCAGGAACGTAGGTGATCTCCCTCTGGTTCATTCCTATTTCTTCATCAAAAACCCACATTTGCTGGAAAAAGACACACACACACACACACACACACACTTGTGAGTTGAGGGTCAACTCGTTGGTAAATGTTGTGAAAACAGAAAATCAAAGAGCCGGCAAATGGACGGAACGCGTTAACACAGTCGGAAAGAATCTGCTCAGAAGAATTAGATAATCAAGTTTAACAAAGATGATGATCAAAGATAATGTGTTTTGTTGTAATTTGCAAGATGAACGAAATGGCTGAAAAGTTGTTACCGCCATGAGAAGTAAAAATATAGATCTTTCTATTGTTACTGCCACAATCCTCACAGCGAAAATACTCTTTATGATCTTATGCATTATTTGTATAATTACATACATCAAAGTTAAGTAAAAGGAAATCACACGTTTGGTTTAGTGCAACTTATAACCACTCAAAACAGAAAGCAGATCACGGCTGCTTTTCCCTCCTGTTACCACTGAGAAACTGTTCTAACCTGCAGCTTCAGGTGGAGGCCAGAGGCATAAAACACACGCAAAGACAGAAATATACACATGTTTGTCTCTCCTTGAAGCCAGCGAGGAATTCCTTTTGCTCGGGACTCACCTGAGTGATCGGCTCCACGGTGCCGATGTACGTGTCCGGGCGGAGAAGGATGTGCTCCAGCTGGGTCTTCTTCTGGTACACTCGCTCCACGGACAACTTGGAGGCCGCTTTGGCCTTCTTGGAATCCTCCATCTTGCCAGCATCACCTCGACCATTCGCAGCCTCCTGTTGGGTAGATTTGTTTTTGGATTTGTTACACACGTAACACGTAAACTCTGTAGGTCTCGAGACCTGCGAGACAATCAAGTCTTCTGTGCTGCTGAAAGCAGATTATACAGTGAACACATGTTTACAGAGGTTTACTACACACATATCTCTATTCTGAGTCTGATCCTAACCCATCAAATCAGAAAAATATTTATCTTTAATTCCAGGTAGAATACAATCCACAATACCAACCAATGTTTCCTGAAAGTTTTGAAACATTTTCTGCAAGGAAGGTTTGAACGGCAGTGCTGCTCCACAATATGAAGCTGTTTAGTTAGTATGTGCTTTACTGTGGTGTTACGACGTCCTGTTTAAAAGGCACATTCTCACCGGTAGACGCTGCAGGCTTTACCAAGCCAGTCAGTGTACTATGGATTAAATAGTCCACTTCTTTCATTGTAGTTATACTGTAATACGCTGTGGCGGAACGTGGCGGACGCTTTTATGCTGCTTCATACTTCCACTCAGTGGAGATGTTGTACTTCACTGTAGCAGATTTAATACACAATATAATATATAATATAAGAAGTACATTAGGATACATTATATTACAGGTTAGGAAAGCCAGCAGTGGATGAAGGGAACAAAATTAGCCTCATATTTACCAGCTGGGACATTAAAGTATGTACTCCATGCATTATGTATCACCAGTTACTATTCAATAAGATAAGTAACGTTATAATATTCTAAAATAGGCTCTTCAGCACAATAAATACTTCACGCAGTAGTTCAAGCTAAAAAAAAAGCAACTTCACTATTAAGAAGAGTATTTTTACATTAAGTGTTGCTACTTTGACTTAACTAATGTAAGTTAAATACCTAAATAGTTCTGGTAATAAACGATGCACGTTGGCTATTAACGCTACGTAATGAAAGTAGCGTTGTGAAGTTACGTTAAACATCAACTTGCGAAGGAACGAGGCAACTTTCAAACGGAAGTTTTTTATTGAAAGTGTGAGTTTTCCTCATCGCGGGTGTAATTACACATCTGTAAGAAGCAAGGTCACCGGTGCTCGCTCCTCAAAGCCAGTGAGGGTTTTAAAAGGCGAGACAACAGCTGGCTGCTCTTTAACAGCAGCGCACGTTCTCGTTTTACTTATTGGGGGATTTAACGTCCCGTTAGAGGCGAGCTGAAGCCTTAAATGGCGTTTTGGGGGGGGGGGGGGGGTAGAAAAGCATCGGTTGTGTTTTATAAAACTAAGTTACTCAAAGGTTACTTTTGTGATAAACTGGCTTACCATCCACGCCAGACCTCCGCTTCCTGCGGCGCCGTTGGACATCTTCCTTTGTGGTCCTAATTCTTAATAATGCTCCCCGTAAAATGTCTTCAATTCCCGTTGTATTAAAGGTCCGTGTGTATCAGTTGCTGAGAGCTAGCCGGACCGGTTTATCTTCCATGTTTTTCTTCGGTTTGCATTAAGGATAATCCTTTGAATGTACCAAAACAAGTCGAGAAGGGGAGTGTGTCGCGGCTATTGTTAAAATCGACGAGCGGAGCCACAGTGGGCCTAAACTTCCAACAAAGATGCTAACCGGGCTACTTGTGTTTAAATAAATACGCTAGAAAACGCTCACATTAAATATAATTACAAATGCATGAGAAAACAAAATAGAATAAAATAGGGGTTCAGCTCAAACGCTAAGAAAACGATGTACTTAAATACATTTCATTTTAGAAATAAAACGAGGATTTAGCTAGCAGCAGCTCAGCTGTCCGGCTCCGCCATCTGCATGATGGACGGCGAATCGTCTTCGGGCCGATGAGCGGACCAATCAGAGCGCGGCGTTTCAAAAGCGCCGGTACCTCGACCAATAGGAAACGTCAACATTCAGTGACCCAACGGCTTTTCTCTTCCCGACGCAAGATGGCGGCAAAGACTCGCTCTTCATCGTGAAAAGAACCATTAAAGGTAATGAACACACCGCCACAGCGACTACCAGACTGAAAAAATATCTTTATTATGCTTGCACTTCTATATATTTCCTAACATTCAAGCCCTTTCCCCTGCACTTACTACACTTCAGGCATGGGACGGTGTAAAGATTCAATGGGCAAATATTAAATGACAAACGTACTAAATGAGATAACACACACAGGAGAACTGTTCAACCTGCATCAACTGTGTCTCCATGCATCACAAACTATAGACACAGTGGAGACGAATGTTACAAGAAAAGAACCAGAACCGTGGCTTTTTAAAAAAACCTTTAAACGTATATTTTACACTGCATGTCTTTTAAGGATATTTGGCTGTCACTCAAATTAATGTTTAAAATATTAAGACAACATTTGTACGCTATGGTGGGTACCGAATGAATGTCTATTAGACCATGCATATTCAATCAATCATCCTAGAGGTCTGACACATTTAAATATTGCACTGATTTGTCATCATACAAAACTGTCATCCAGTAATTTAGTGATGAGCTCGCCAACGCTGAAAAAAACAAACAAACAAAAACCGTTAAGCGTCTTCCAAATGGACGAGGATTTCAAATGAGCACTCCTCCTCCTCGTCCTCCTTCAAGCTGCGTCTGAAGAGCTGGGAGTGCTGCCATGACGTCTCCCCCTCTCCACCGCCGAGTCTCGCCGCAACAATGAACTCTGAGGAGCCGGAGAGGCTCTGGAATGACTGTGTCTTCCCATCTGCCGGGTCAAACACGCCGGAGGAAATCGTTAGGAGGCAACGCGTCACACGTTGTGTTCAAATCCGAATATCTGTTACGGAACCATACCTCCGGGGAACTCCGTGGTGCTCTGGCCTGCCTGCAAGTGCCAGCAGACTTCCCCGGAGTGGAAGGTCTGGCTGCTGGCCGTGATCGAGACAGACTTTATCTTCAGTCCAGCCGGGGAAAAGTCAAACTTCCAGCTAACTTTTCCCACAGAGGAGCCTTCTGTTCGAGCGATGTACACCTGAGGGAAGACATAGATTTTTGTTGTTGCAGGATATTAAAAAAAAAAAAAAAAGTGAAGTGTCCTTCACTTTCTTATTGTTCCACATCACTGTTGGTCTTTTAATCTAAAAATGTTCAATATGACATGAAAACAACAGCAGCATCAGAGTGCTTGCTTTGTGCTGGTGGGTGGACCGGTCTCTGAACATAAACCCCCTCTCTTCTCCCGCCGTGGTTCTGACACGCTCCGATTAGATCAAACAATTAAAAAAATCATTGAAACTGCAAATGTGACCTAATAGCATTATGATAAAGGAAAATAACATTCCGGTAGCCTTTTTCTAAGTGATAGCACACTTTGATGAGTTCGGTTTGAAACTAGATGGTAGTTAAAACAATACCCCCTCTATTATTCTACATTCAGAATTAGATGATGGATGTGTTCTTTATACAGTAGCTTTTTTGTTTTCACTCCCTTATAGCCAATAGCATTAAGAACATGTTTCCTATCCCGAGCCATGAATAATAAATAATAACAACAAAAGAAAAACATGGGGTTGTTAGTCAGACAACAACAAACGCACCATCTGCCAGTCGTTCTCCACCTTCCTGAAGACCGACTCCTTGCTCCACACGCACTGATCCCAGCTCTGGGTGACCTCGCGGTTGTTGGACACTCGACAGTACTGGTCTTTGGTGGCGCTGTAGCGCACGTGCAGCAACCGGTCACTCTTCTCCTTCTCAGTGGGAGTGAACACGTAACCTGTAGCCTGAGAGAAAACGCACACGCACACACACACACACACACACAACTAGTCAAATATTGATTTGTATTAGACATCCAGCTGATATGCTTTCATGCTACGATACTTTAAGCTACTCAAATACTAAATATAGTGTTCACATGAAATCCGGGATGAATAATAAATGAAACAACAGAGTGTTAACTATTTAAATATTATTATTCTAGTAATTCAAGCTGCTATAAAAAGCAGCTGTCTATTGGAAACAAAGTTTTCCTTTTAAGATTTTAAATAGTGGGATGAAAATGCAGAGAAATGCTCAATTTATCTGTAATAACCTTGAAAAACTAATTGCCCCCTAATATTGATCCCTAGTTCATCATCACAATAAAACTCCCGTCACAGCCTTTGAAAAGGCTGATTAAAATGTCTATTCAAATAAATATAAAGAAATGGATCGTTAAATATGCGACGCGTTCTCTCATCTACAACAACATACAGAACAAACTACCTGTGTGGAGGTGCCTGCATCCGCCTTCCTGGTCTCCCCCCGGGCCACCCGCCAGGCCAGAGAGCCCGAGTTGCGTCCGCCCAGCTCTCCTGGCTTTGGTTTCTTGGGGGAGATGAACTCCACCAGCTCGACGAGCAGCCTCTCCGTCAGCTCCTTCTTCCTTTCTGGACTCAGGGACTGCTGCCTCTTCAGCAACACGGCGGAAGACAAAGGGCTTCATTTACTAAATCAGAATCGACAGAGCAACGAGTGGTACATGCAGAGCTCAACGGGTCGAGATCTACCGAGGCATTAAGTCCGGCAATGGTGTGCAGCAGCCAGGCCTCCTGAACTCTGGTCCTTCTCGTCAGAACCTCTGGGTGCTTGCAGGAATACCTCCACGTCACGTCGACCACCTGCATCAAACACATGCAGAAGTATCAACGGTGGGATCGGCCGAGGAGACCAACACGGGCCGCACTTCAGTAAACAGTGCACAGCTCTTTGCTTACTGGCCCAAAGGAAGTGCTGATAATACAAATTATAGAACGAGAAAATAAATTCATTTTCACTGAGAAACAAAACAAAAGGAATATCTGGACGTTTTTAAACAACTGTAATAGAAGTATTAATACACATTTGTCTGACCTCGTCCTTTGAGAAAGCCAGAATGTAGGCCAGTTTCTTCCCCCAGCCGACCTCATACAGAAGAGGTTTGTCACAGCCGTTCTCACAGGAGTCACAGTGCAGCCAGCGGCGCTGAGACACCGAGTAGACCTCGGTCCACACGTGGTCTGAAACATCACAGAACCCAACGGACGTGCAATGAGCCTCTGGAGCACTTGAATTCAGTGCGCTGTACATTTTGTGGCGTATTAAAAATGTGACATTACATTTAGCGGACACTTTTATCCAAAGCGACTTACAATAAGTGCATTCAACCATAGGGATACAAGAAAGAAGACAATTTGAAGACAAAGTGCAATTTCATCAAATGAGCCAATCGACTTGAAAACCCCATGTTTTTAATATACTGTATAGTGTGCAGGTGCGCAATACGTTTTTTTATACATGTTCAATTAGTATTTAATATCTTTACTTTAGATTAGCATTATCATCATTATTATTGTATGATTGCTATAAAAATAATTTTATGCCAATTTGCTAATCAGATAAAGATTGTAGCTCCAGTTGTGATAACACCCAACTAAATGACAACGGAGTACACTTAATTTTCTGATGAAGCACATTAGATGTGGGTGAAAGCTCAAGAAGAAGTTGTTGGTGGATCTTTCACCAAATAGCTCATTCATATTCACGACAAGATCGTAGTATGTCCTCTTAAAATATCATGTAAACAGCTGCTTTAGCTCTGCAGACCAGAAAATAGAATCAGGGATGCAAATCGCACCTCGTGATGAATACAGTATCAATCTATGAACCACATGCGTCAGTCCCGTACATACCAGTGCTGTCCCAGATGTATCTGGCCTCCAGGCCGAGGGCTCTGCAGCACAGCGTCATGCAGTTAGCCCACTCCCCACAGCGCCCCCTCCTGGTTTCAAGAAGCTTCTCGGGATTGTTGTATCTGGCATTAACAAGAGAGCAATTAATTAAAGCATGAGTTTCTGCAACTTAATCCTAGTTTTCAATATTAGCTCAAAATGATTTTCTTGGAGCAGTAAGAACTAACAGGAATGCTCCACACACCTGGGGAATCTGGTGGAGAGCTGGCAGCTCTCACAGTAGTGGTTCTCTACTCGCTGGGCTCCCCAGCGGATGTCATCGGGGGTGGGACTAAGGGACCTGGAGTTCACGGTCGGGCCTTTGCATTGGCTGCAGGGCAGACAGTCCACCCAGGAGAAGAAGTCCTGCTTGAACCATCTGAGCAGCTCCAGCACCAGGAAGTCTTCCATTCCAAGTTTACATTCTGTAAAAAGGAAAGCAAGTCAGGTTGTTCCCTCGAATCACCATTTAATGCATATCTTTATTTGCATACGGTTCAACATACAACCGATTGTCCTGACTGACTACGGAGACTTCACCTGGATCAACCTCCTTTGCCTCCGTCAGCTTCTGTTCAGCAGCAGAGCACAGCTGCTGGTGAGGGATGTGGCTCCTGGCTTTCTGCTGCAGCTCAGGGTTTTCATAAATCATCACATGTTGGAAGTTTGACTGGAGGGACAGGAAAAAACTCATACTGTTCTCCTGATGGAAAGACAAGAAAATAAACACCAAGATTATACAACTGTTACACAATGCCCTCCAATATCTCAAAATAATAGAAACCGTATTAATATTGTAAAGGTCCAAAGAGTTGAGAATTTAAGATGATGTTGTCTAATTTAAAACCCTGAATCTTTCGTCTTTAATAATCACTGTAGCCACCAATACCTGAACTGGGAAATCACCAATTTAAGATAAAGAAATAGAGAACATTCCAACCACTCTCCAATTGTCTAACATGGCCATATTATAAAAGGTGTAGTACACACAAACCAGGGCTTTGAGATACTCTAAAACGCTGTCAATGAAACCCTCATCATATGGAAAAATTGGCATTAGATTAGATGAACGTCATAAGGTTTCTTCATCTTTAATTTGTCTTTAGAAGAGAACAAAGTGAGTCGAGGGGTCTTTAGTGTCACAGTGATTTTACAGCGTGTAACACACATACTCTAAACGAGGGAAGAATACATCTTTACCAAAGATGAAGGCTCTGATGGAGGTGGTGTAACTGGCTGGCTGGAGGCAGCAGCAGAGCTCTCTGGCGCCGGGGACGGGGTCGAGACCGAGGTCGAGGCCAAGGGTGCAACGGCCTGAGCGATAGGTTGGACGGGCTGTCCCCCACACAGTCTCTGATCCCGCTCTGCTGCCACGGAGTCCCTGATGAGCTTCAGCTGTTCTACCGATGCAGACTTGGGGAACACCAGGTGGGTTTCAGCCTGTAAAGAGGTGCAAGAGGTCATAGGATTTACACACAGTTGGGCCGATGAGGGATGAACTAATACTTGTCAATTACCTCCTCAAATCCCATCTCAAAAAGACATTCCACAGCACCTTTGACGGGCAGCAGCTTGGTGGAGAATGTGGGATTGCCTATGCGGATCGACCTGTACTTTTCCTCATTGGGAGACCTGTTGGGAGGCGACATGAAACGAGTAAGTAGAAGTGTTCCTGATGCCTGACGTGTTCATATATGCCACCTATTGACGGGTTCTCTGCTTTACAATCACACAAATAGGTAGAAATCTGATTACACCCAAGAAACATGACATGGTGACTTCAGGGCGGTGGAAGAATTGCCCAACGAGCACCCATAGCGATTGATCCTTTAATCATTTCAGAATTTTACCTTGTGCGTGTGTTGACAAAGACAAAACACTTTATAACGCATATAGCGGGGCTAAGCTAGGTTAGCTGTACCCGGCGGTTGGGCTAACGTTGGCACGGTTGTTAACGATTAGTGTACAAAAAGAAGGAAAAAAAACACACACATCATCACGTCGCTGGTGTGTTGCGTTGTTATACGTTCACAACCTTACCGTAAAATGTTATCAGCATATGTAAGCAACAACTTCGCAACGTCTAGAAAGACTTCATTTGAATTCTCACACAGCGTCGTCACTGCTGGTGACAAAACCATGGTGGTATTTCCTGAACAAACTGGTTCAAGTCTTTCACTAGCGCTGAAGCTAAAGTTGCAATTTTAGCTAGTGGGTGTTTTCGGGTCTGTTTTTAGGTGACCCGTAATCGCCTGAGTAGAAGTTTGTCGCGCTAAGTAACGGGCATAACCTTTTTTTTTTATTTGAAAGTCTTTTTTAAAGTCATACAATAAATCATCATTTTCCTGGTCAATTGGTTTGTCCTATTTTTAACAACGACGTTTAGACTTTAATCCGGCGTTCGAAAGTGCTACCTAAGACTCGCAACAGACCCGTCCAAGGATGTTTGTTTGTTTTGTTTCGTGAATGTGATGAGTTTAATCAATTTGCAAACAATCCTCGGCCCAGTAAGTAACACGCTTAAGTCCGGAGCTACAATCAAGGTGAGTACAGTTATAACGTCAGACATAACGGCATGTGGGCTCTATCGCTCTCCTGCTGCACTATGCTCCAGCTGAGGACACACAACGTGAGGACATTTCTTCAAAAGGCCGTCTGTGTTTGTCCAAACCAAGACTCCAGACACTGCAGCTCTGCAAAGCACAAAAGGAGGGTTGTTATAACTGGGATAGGGTTAGTGTGTCCTCTGGGCACAGGGACTGTCCTAACCTGGGACCGCCTCATTAAAGGACACAGTGGGATCGTTGCTCTTCCCTCTGAGGACTACAAGTCCATCCCCTGCAAAGTGGCAGCGCTGGTGCCCAGAGGAAACGACCACGGCCAGTTTGAGGAGGAGCGGTTCGCGTCCCGTGGGGAGATCGGCAGCATGTCCTCCGCCACCGTGATGGCTCTCGGAGCTGCTCAGCTGGCCCTGGAGGACTCGGGCTGGCACCCCGAAACCCCGGAGGAACAAGTCAACACCGGGGTGGCCGTCGGCATGGGCATGGTGTCCCTGGATGAAATCGCTCGCACCTCGGCGGCCTTCCGAGAGAAGGGCTACAAAAAAGTCAGTCCCTTCTTCGTGCCGCGCATCCTTGTCAACATGGCTGCTGGGCACATAAGCATCAGACACAAACTGAAGGGTCCCAACCACGCGGTGTCCACGGCGTGCACCACGGGTGCCCACGCCGTAGGCGATGCCGCCAGGTTCATCGCCCACGGCGATGCGGCCGCTATGCTCTCGGGGGGAACAGAATCCTGCGTGGGGCCTCTGTCGGTCGCCGGCTTCGCCAGGGCCCGGGCCCTCGCCACCAAATGGAACGACGACCCCGCCCAGGCGTCGAGGCCCTTTCACCCGGAGCGAGAGGGATTCGTGATGGGCGAAGGCGCGGCGGTGCTCCTCCTGGAGGAGCGTGACCACGCGGTGAAACGAGGGGCCAGGATCTACGCGGAGATCCTGGGTTATGGGCTCTCTGGAGATGCCAGTCACATCACTGCACCCACTGCGGATGGAGATGGAGCATTCAGGTGACTCGTCTTAGTCCAAAACAACGACCTGAAAGAGGCAAAAAATGGGATATTTGGTATTTTCACCACAAGATGCCGTTCACAGTTTATAGAATGTGATCCTGAAGGTTATAAGTTAATTCATTGGAGCTTAGAGAAACACCCGTGAGTTGAACTTGTCCCACTGTCTTTTTCAGATGCATGTCTGCGGCCCTCAGAGATGCCGGCGTCTCGCCGGCTGACGTGACGTACGTGAACGCTCACGCCACCTCCACGCCCTTGGGAGACGCGGCGGAAAACGCCGCCATCAAGAGGCTCTTCCGGCATGCGGCCCAGAACCTGGCCGTCTCCTCCACCAAGGGGGCCACCGGACACCTGCTCGGGGCCGCGGGGGCCCTGGAGGCAGCCTTCACCGCCCTGGCCTGCTACCACGGGGTCCTGCCCCCGACCCTCAACCTGGACCGGACCGAGCCGGAGTTCGACTTGAACTACGTCCCCCGCGCGGCACAGCCGTGGGACGCTCGGGGCCGGCGCGTCGCCCTCACCAACTCGTTCGGATTCGGCGGCACCAACGCGTCGCTGTGCATCAGCAGCATCTGATGACACAATTGTTTATTGTGGCGTCATGGAGTTTCCATGAGCATCATCGCTTCTTCTGCTAGTTGGTTTGTGCGTTCTCATGAACTGATTCAAGGAAAATGTCAGTGACAGAATAAAAGCATTGAATCCTTGTTTAAAATGTATAATTGTGTGTAAAATGTATTTAGGTGACTTTGTGAATAAGCCTTTTTAATTATTTATTATTTAATTATTAGCCTTTTTAGGAACTATCATGTGTATTTTTATGTTGAATCTTCTGAAATAATGAAAATTGCACTTGTCGTGCAGTAAAAATATTCCTAAGTAGCTAACAAAAGAACGGAAAATGTAGCTTATGTTCCGTTCTTTAGTAAATGTCCTCTTCCCCATCTGATCCAATAGAAACAGAGCTCAGCCCTGAGAGCGGCCGTCTCTTTAGTCCAGCAGGTGGTGCACGTTGCTCCTATGAACATTTCCAAAGCAGTCAGACATTCAGTAGACACTCGAACAACAGAAAAATAAACATCACAACATTTACAAGCAGCACTAACTCACTGAGGTCTTCCTCTGAGGACCTTAAAGCTTTTATACAATATTCAAGAGCTCTGAAGAGAAGCAGCCAGAGAGAAACACAAAAGGCCTTTTGGATCCATTAGAGTACGCAGAGAGCAAATCATCCTATTGAAGAGGTTGTTATGAATAATCATAGAAGATAATGTATGATAATTGCCTCTTGTTTGCTTCCTACATCCAAGCTGTTTTCTTTAAACAGGAACTAAGCCCCCCCCAAAGATTGGCCAATTTGTTACAATTATGAAATAAGTGGAGCTTTTGGTGCGTGCAGCTGACTTTAATAACGTCTTTAATGGAGGCGCGATCTAACAGTGGTGTCTTTTGTGATCCCTTATCGAGGCACTTTCAAAACCAAGGCCTCTGACTCTGTGCCGTCGTCCTTTTGAATTCGGCCGTTCATTTCAATTTAACGACTCGCAACTTGTGAAAACAGCAATGTGTGACCAGAGTAGAGGGGAAAAAGAGGTCAAATAGTACCATTATATATCAAATGGTGTAAACAATCCCCGAAGGGAAAAGGACATGATGCTTCCTGGTTGCTTGTGTTCAAAGACTGAACAACAGTGATTCTCCTCCTTTAGCGAGGAAACACATCGTTAGCGCCCGGCCTCCTGGGAGGGACGTATGTCGTCTATGGAGGGACACCGAGGGGCCGTGGTGGAGAATAAATGTGTGTTTATACTTTGCACGAGACACGTCTCATTTTAGGTATTTGGATTTTATTTGTTTTATTGTTTTCAAAAATGTAACAAAAAAAGGAGCATTAAATATATACCACTCGTATTTTTTTTTTTAAACAAGGTAAATTCATTTGATTTATATTCTACAACCTTCCCTTCATAAATCAAACAACTTACCATTTATTACATAATTCCTAAAAAAATATTTTCATCTCACGCCGTCTCTAACCGCTAAGGGGAGGAGAGAAAATGGTTTCATGATATTGTTGGTGGGCGGACATTAAACATGACATTAAAGACTCATTAGTGGCTGCAGACGTAGTCCATTACACCACAAAAGAGCTTTTCATCGTTCCCAGAGCGTTGAGTAAAAGCTTGACATTCTTGCAAATATACGAATTCCACTTTACGTATTCAAGCCTGATATTCTATGTAGGAGAGCTAATGGCCTCTTTGGCGTGTCTGTTCAAGTTGCATTTAATCAGACGGCCTCGGTGTAGTGCGTTAAAATCAGACCATTAGACGCCAAAGCCATGAGACAAGCCAGAGAACGGAAGATCCTTTATGGAGACAAAGAAGTTTCAAAAATTGACTCGGTACTACAGTAAAGGTCAAAGTTCAAGCATAAATATCCATTCAAATAACAATAATGTGATGTGGCCAGTTGTGCAAATATCCTGATTTGGGACCAGACGGAATGATCAGCAAACCAACTAACATGCAGCCATAGTCTGAATATCTCCTTTGATGAGTAATTACACTGTCCAGTCTGAATTTGGGAGCATGATGTAAAGCCGGACCCAGGTGATGAATCACTGTGCTGGGGAATGTCGTTCCGCACCCATTTTTAGCGATTACTTTTTATTAGCTGCTCCGGATGTCGCATCCTGCTAATGAGTAAATCAATTATTCATCCATTTTTTTAAAATTTGAAATAATCCGACATGGATGAACGAGTTGCAACCAGCTTCTCCCTTTTTTTTTTTCACGTCACAAAGGAAAGCCCGCCATCTTCGGGGTGAATATTTTTGGCTTCAGGACTCGACATCAATCTCTGTCAAATTTCTGACCCTTATTCACAGTGTTATTCGGCAGTTTGTTACTCTGCATTATTCCATCCAGAGCTACATGCACCATTGATTCCTTGCATTATAGAATACATTATATCCACTGTACCATTAAATGCACCAGGTTCTCAACCTTTACATGGCGAATGGACGTAAATGCCCCCACAATGTCAGAGCGTTTCACTCACAGGCCGGTGGATTTTGCAGCAGCCGTGCTTCATGATTCCTGCGTGATTCTCTGCTCTCTGTACTCTGAGAGAGGCAAGTGAAGCCATTCCACCGCCCTCCGTACCAACGGCGCCGTGGCCGAGCAGCAACCACCGATTCCTGCAATGGTGACTTTGCTTCATGTGATTCCTTCTTTTGCTCTTGATTTCCCTTCCCCTGTTTTTTTTTTACGTTTCTGACTCCTAATTAAGGAGACATCCAAGCTGAATTATGATTGCCATGGCAACAGAGTCAGCATGCATTCCCTTTGATATCACCCTGTCCCACATGGAGCACAGCTTATCACCAGGTTCTAAAATTAGACCCCTCTCTCTCTCTCTCTCTCTCTCTCTCTCTCTCTCTCTCTCTCTCTCTCTCTCTCTCTCTCTCTCTCTCTTCATTCCTCCGCTGGTCATTATTCAGGTCCAATGTTTTGCCTTTTGTTCTGTTATGGGATGCTGGGAATTGTGGCCGTTATTAGATTGTTACAATTGACTGAGGATATTGCCGTAATACTCATTAGGCATCATGGTGGAATTGAATTGATATACTTCTTCTATTAGTTAAAGCAGTGGTTCCCTTGCTAGGGGCCGTCTGCGGGGTCATGAGATGATTAACTTTAATCCTACCATCCAGGGTTTCCTTTGGATAAATATGCCCTTAAAGACTTCATATCATTATTTTTTTTACTTAATATATCGACCTGTGTCAGACGCCCCCAGCGTATTCATTTATTTCCATTTCGAAGACACAGATTTTCTCTTGAGCTCTATTTCTGTTTCAACACAGACAGCACATTCATTATAACTTTCCTCAAATAATAACAGTAATAGCTGATTTGAGAGGAAATATAAAGAAACATATTTGAACTTGTCTCTGACAGCATGTCTTTCTTCTTCTGAACATTTTCCGAGGTCATGTTTTATGAATTTATGAAATTAGGGTTTTAAAAATGCTGTCAGGAGTTACCGGGTCACACCAGAAGGCTTAGGTACCATGTGTTCCACTTAAATCATTACCAGACACGTGCACTTCACACCACTGCTGACCTTTCCAACATCTCTCTATTCTGCTTCCTGCAAATATCAACTGTCTCGCTGAGTGTTTAAACCACAACCGGCACTGTGTTGCACTGATACGAGGGGAGCAATTCGACTAACAGATGTCACTGAAATGCTATTTTTATCGCACTATAACAGTTATTGTATTGTATACTCTGCGCCATCGCCGTCTCTCTCTCTCTCTCTCTTGTCTTTTTGTCCGAGGCGCTCACGCCCGTCTGATGTGACACGTCGGTAAAAAAGCGGGTCAGCGCAGGCCGGCGAGGTCCAGGACGGTGCCACACATGTCGCCGTGTGCTGTTGCATCCGCTTCTCCTTGAAGGTGAAAACAGACTCCTTCGTCATCAGCGTCTCCTTGCTTCCTCCCTCGGCCCTTTCTTGTCATGAGTGATATGTCAGTGGTAGCGGAGAGGTGATTGTAATCAACCAGCTCTTTTAACTAAGACAAGTGCTGTCTGTCCCCCCCCCCCCCCCTGTAATTATCACCCATCAGCAAACTCTTTTTACGCTTGAGAACGATCACCTGAGGCATTAATGTCAATTCACGTTCATTCAAATGAAATATGAAATGTTTCAGCGACTGACATTGACACAAAAGTCTCACTTTATATTCCCACTACGGACATAAAGGAAAGACAAGAAAGAACATTGTTATTATTTTAATCATTATATTTATGCTTTTATAAAGTAATGGGGGTAGAAACCTGGTGTCCGTGTCCCTCTGCTACAGAGTCAGCTCATTGTTCAGCTGTTGAACCCACAACCTTGTTTCTGTTCAGGTTCCATCACCAAACACTGCGTTTGCTTCATTTTCATTCCCACCCTCAAACAAACCGCACATCTGTCCGCCGGGAACCAGGCCGACGCCCATCTCCACAGGAGGACTTTGATTGACAGCTTTCACCCTCGGCCCAGACGAGCAGCTGGGAGGCCCTGAACCCCTCGACGCGCTTTCTGTCTCGCCTGACATCGCAGTTGGAGTCTAAGTGAAGGAGGGTGTCTGGGCTGCGAAGCTGAAAGTGCTGTGTGAAGAGCGCGACGGCAGTTTGGGAAATCACTTCGCTCGGAGAGTCTTTTCCGTGCAAAGTAAAGTGTGAGGCGGATATTTCAGATCGCGTGCAGTTAAATGAGCTGTGGGGTTCGTTTCTCTCCGTGTCTAAACACCAGCAACAGTTCTGTTGGACCATGATAACATATTTAGACATCACTGCCGTCAGAAGACAAAGAGGTGCATTGCTGGTTAATAAAAGGCTTTGTTAGTAATTCAAAATATTGTATTCCTCTGTGGTGAAGGAGGCATCTTTAACCATTCATGTTCATGGGATATTCATTTGCATTTCCCCACAAAAGCATGCAAAATGGGTACATTTCTGGAAGCCCTTACAAGGAACCCGTCATTCTAATGTCGGCGTTTACGGGCATTTGCTCAGGCTCTCTCATCAATACCTCGGTGACTAGTTTGAGGTGTTTTTGGTGTCAGTGTTGCCCCCGGCGACAGCTGCATACAGCTGCAAGCTGATTACTTCAAGCGGGAAATGTTTAACCTTGTCACACTTCCAGGTTTCCAGAGAGAAAACACAATCAAGCAGGTGTGCTTCTCAGAAGCTCGTGTG